AGGAGGAGGAGGAGGAGGAGGAGGAGGAGGAAAAGATAACGGAAGAAGGGATGTTAACGGAGAGAGTGACGGATTGTCACCCTGGAGTCAATTTTCAAATATCTTAAGGTACTTCGGAGAATGTTCTGAAAAACGATGGGACATGAGAATTCTTATTACAAAATTGGGGGTACCCAGCAGCAATATTTTCTTATAAAAATTGTTCCGAGTTGACTTGAGTTTGATTTTAAATTTCTTCAATGGAGATTGGGGAATACTTGCGTTGCGCGTTTCTGAGTTTTTCTTCGTCAAAGTACTTACTTTCTAGAACAAAAAAAACATGCCTAACTTTCTATATCTAATTAATACTCCCCGGTTCTAAAACAAGTGTTACATTACCTAAAATGAGTCAAAATTTTATTTTTTTTCAATACATTTTATTTAAAAAAGAATGTATAAATAAAAAATAAAAATTATATATTTAAAAGTTGCTTCAAAAGGGATTCAAAACAACATGCGGAAATGACATTTTATTTTACGGAGTATTAAACAATCTAAGAAAATACATAAATGAACAAAAGTTTTCGTAATTTTTGAATAGTGAAGTGTGATATTTTTTTAGAACGGATAAAGTTTGAAATTTTCCTAAAAAAGATTAGTAAAAAGTTTTCCATATAAAACATTTTTTATTCTCTCATTTTTATATATTCAAATGTAGTAATTTAATGTGTCAAAATTTTGGTCATGTTTGAGTGGATGTTTTGTTAATATAAAAGTGTGGTTTAAAATTTGTTATTGATTAAAAGTCAGGTTTAGATTTCCAGTTTTAAAGTCAGATCTGGGTTCGAGTCGGGTTTTGAGTTTAAAAGTCGGTTGGGTTTGGATATAGTAATATCCGACCCGAACCTGATCCATTGTCATTCTCTATGTATGATACTAATAAGTGCTTCTATTTGTAAACATATTTTAATCACATTTTTTACTTTTTAAAAGTTGCTTCAAACCTTGAGAAGTCTAAATAGTAAATTATTTTTGAAAAAATATAAGAGAGATTTTATTGTAGATCTAAGATCCACAAAATTTTTGTAATCCTTGCTCACATGAAAAATACTCCGTAATTTTTACCTATTCGTTCCAAAAAAATTCTTCTTTTGAAACACACAATTGTCATCTCGATTAAATTTAATTTATTCACAAATTGATATACAAAAAAACAAAGTTGTTAATAAATTAAAAAATTGAAATTTATATTTACACAAACTTGTGAATTTTGTGATATGTGTGTAAATTGTAGCCTATGCCCATTGGCCATGACCAAAACCAATGCTATAAATTCCAAACGTTCAACTAAAATTCTGTTACTTTCCCACTCTCCCAGCAAAATTCTCTATTCCAGTGGCGATCCTTTCTCCCTCCCATCAATTAACGCCGCATATACATCCCGGCAACGAAACGAACTCCGACGGCGCTCTCTGTTCGCCACCGCCACCATGAAAGACGACTATGACCGCAGAGAACAAACGCCGCTTCCTTCTCTCCATTTGAAGGATCTCAAGACGATCTCCGTTCTCGGACGCGGCGCCAAAGGCGTGGTGTTCTTAGTTCAGAGAGAAGGTGACGGCGAATTGTCGGCTCTCAAGGTCATCTCCCGAGCTTCGGTGGAGATGAAGAACAAGGCTAGCGATTACAGAAGAATCTGGTTCGAACGAGACGCTTTGAGGTCGTTTCAGCATCCACTTCTGCCGAGTCTCCGCGGAGTGGTTTCCACTGAAACGATCGTCGGTTATGCCATGGATTATTGCTCTGGAGGCCATCTCAATGCTCTCAGAAACAAACAAACAGAGAAAATGTTTTCCGACGATATTATCCGGTAAGTCTCAATTTCCATTTTTGAAGCTCCAAAATCTTACAAACGCAATGCAATTGGAATGAATAATTAGATTTATGTAAGTTGTTTGGTTTAATTCTCAGATTCTACGCTGCGGAATTGGTACTTGCGTTGGATTATCTTCACGGATTAGGAATTGTATATAGAGATTTGAAGCCGGAGAATGTGATGATTCAAGGAAACGGGCACATAATGCTGATCGATTTCGATCTCTCCGCTAAGCTCTCTCCAAAATCTCCAGAAATTCGTCAACCTCTCGAATTGCGTTCCAAGTCAGATCCGAAGTCGAAGAGCACGAAGAAGAAGACGAAGTTTCCATCATTCTACCGGCTCTGTAGCTCTGGAATTTCGCCGGAGGAACTCGTTCCTCCGGCAGATCGTCCGGTTCCCAGGTCCGACTCAGCAGAGAAGACGAATTCCTTCGTAGGAACAGAAGATTACGTGGCGCCGGAGGTCATAAAGGGCGACGGCCACGATTTCTCGGTGGACTGGTGGTGCTTAGGCGTGATGATGTACGAGATGCTGTACGGGAAGACGCCGTTCAGAGGATCGAACCGGAAGGAGACGTTTTACAGAGTAATATCTAAACCGCCGGATTTGGCCGGGGAGCCGACGGCGTTGAGGGACCTAATCGGGAAGCTTCTAGAAAAGGACCCGCAACGGCGGATCACGGCGGAGGAAATCAAACGCCACAGATTTTTCAGAGGCGTAGATTGGGAGTCAATTACGGAAATGCCCAGGCCGCCGTTCATTCCGGCGTCAATGGAGGATTTGGAGGGGGTGGGAAATGGTAAAGAAATGGAGGTGGAGTCATTTGTGGAGGGAATGTTCAAAGTAGAGGAAAAGGGCAAAAATAGTCAAGGAGAAAATGGGAATAACAGAGAAGTTTGGATTGAAGGACTGGATCATCATCCCACACAACACCAACTTAAGCATTTTTCAGTATTTTAATTTATTTTAATGCGACTTGTACTTAGCTTTTTTTTCTTAGTTTTAAATAGAGTTTCATGTTCTGTTAATCGCCATATAGACTGGTAATTGAATTCTAAAATTTGGAAAATTCTCTATAAAATAGTTAGTGAGTTGATTATTTCATTATACTCCGTAAAAAATTATTAACACAAATAAAGAAACAATATCGTGTTCAATGCTATACTCAATGAAAAAATGGATCCACCTTTGGCTTCGGGTAGAGAACAAGAAAAAATGAAAATATGATTGAAAGTAATGCCAAGAAAAGAGAATTATAACGATCCACCTTTGATGATTTTTCCTTTTTACTATTGCTTATTCTATATGCCATTGGCGTTCACTTTTATATTTTATCAAACAAGTAATAAATATATGTGAGGAAGAAATAATATTCCATCCGTCCATGTATGATCTTCCCATTACGCGTTACGAGGCTTGACCGACTTTATTTTCAATTCAATTTAATTGATTATAGGAGTAAAATTTTAAAATAAAATTTATATAGTAATAAACTAAATGAAAAAAGTACAAAACTAGAGGTGACAAGATTATATTATTTTATGAAATGACTAGTAAAATTAAGCAAATAAAGTGAGTAAAGTTTGACCCTGTGAATAGTATTTGGGAAGATCTATGGTTGACATAGGGAGTATATTTTTTTGTAATGGAAAAATATATAATTTGACTCTTTAAAATGAATAAAGAATTCATCATGGGGTTCCTATGACATTAGAACCTTATGTCATGGGATGACCCGAGAGTGCTCCGGTGCCCTGTTCGTAAAATTGACAATTCTTATTCCCCCTAACCCCGGTAAATTCTTCCACCTCGCCCCGACCCGACCCAAATACACCATCACCCTTTTCAATTGCACCCCACAAGTTAATTTTGACTTTGAAGTTAATTTTTGACTCAAAGTCAAAATTAACTCGTATGATGTAATTGAAGGACGTAGGGGAGTGATCGGATCGGGGCAAGATGGGATTATATCAGAGGGGTGAGGTAGGTAAAAACCGTCAATTTTACGAACGGAATACCGGAACGCTCAGGCCATTCGTTGTCGGGTAATATCATGAGAACCGTCTCGAAAAAATTATTTTTAAAGGGAATGTAGCTCGCGCGAGAATCATGGCATTGATGGGCTTGTTGGTTATGTGCTTTCCATAGAAGTTAATGCAACTTTCAAGTTTTATACCGAACACCCCAAACAGGCCACACAGATCACTAACGTTAGGCAACCATCCAACACGTGCCTCTACCCAAAGTTATCCGACAAACATCACCAAAAGTGTATTTTATTTTAGATTTGTGGACACTATTATTTTACATGCAAATTCTTACCTTTGTTTGATTCAAGAAATTTGAAGGGGAAAAAAAATTAAGATGTAAAACAAATTTTCTTCTTTGGTTTGAGACAAAAAAAGAAAAAAGTAAATGTAAAAGAAAATGCAAAGACAAAATATATTAAGATGGAAAGGAATTCTTTTCTTTTTAAGGAGAGAAACTCGTTTACTTTTCTTTTCCTTCCTAAATCCTTGAACCAAACATAGTGTTGACGATCTTTGAGTTCATATTGATTTTATGCACCTTAGCACAAAAATACAATCCAAGTGAGAGTTTTGTAAAAGAGGAAAAAATTATTTGTAAACCCATTTTGAAAAATATATTAAAAGAGATGTTATAAAAATATTTTATTTTAACAAAATACTACTCGTAACAAAAGTAACTGCAATGATAATTTTAGAATGGATGAAGCATGTAACTATTCCAACCTGGTGTTAGTATAATGAAAATAATAAAGCCATCGTTTTAATAACCTGCCTTTTTATATGTATGCTTAGAATTGCCAAATGCCCTAATTATTTGTGTCAAATTCCTTTAGATAGTGTTTGGCAACTAGCATTTCATTTCAATTCATGCATTTCAATTCTAAAATTTGAAATCCTGAATTTCAAATGACAAGGGGAGGTGCATGGATTTCAAATTAAGCTTTGTTTTGAATGTAAAGAATTTGATTCAAATCCAAATTCAAAATGCTTAAATTTCCCAAATATGGAATTTAAGTCAAATCCGAATTTGAAATCCAAATCCATGTTCCCAAACATACAATTATTTTACCGCAGAGCGAGTGGCAGATCCTGATGGTTAGATGTTAGGAATGTTTTTTTTGAAAAAAGGAATTTTGTTAAACGATTTACACTGACACAAAATATTTATTCAATCAAATAATTTATATTACCATTTTATGTCATTGTAAAACATTACACTAGTAAATGTAATACTTGCTTTCGAAATACAAAATAAAGTACAATTTTCGGTGTACAAATATCATTTCCATTTTTAGATCTTTTCTATTACTACCACAAGTTTTCTTAAAAGTAGTTCTTACAGTTTACCTAAAAACCTTTTAAAAAAATTAGACTGCATATTTTTTTAGGCAGTGTGAACTAAAAAGGCAACACGAGATGTGAGCAAACAAATAGAGTACTTAAAAAAACAGAAGATAGCAAACTTAGTGATACATAAGCCTGGCAAAGTGCCTAAAAGTACGCCATATATAAGAAGGGAACGAAATGTTTAAAACCAAAAAAACATGCATTTGGGTCATTAAGAAAGGCAGAGCCAAAAATAAAACATGACAATAACTGAAAGTGCAACATAAGAGCTGATCACTCGTCTTCCTGGCTACGAAGCCTCGCCAATTTGTTGGTCACCACAACATCTAACTGTGCAGCACGCTCAACAATTTCCTTCCTCTTCATGGTAGAGACATTGTGTGCTATCTCAGCACAGTAAGTCCTGCAAGTCAAAAAAAGGTAAGAAACCAGAGGGAAGAATCAAAACATGTCCACTAAGGAGAACAGCTTTGATCATGTAAGAAACCTGTTGTGCATCATCAAAAGTTCCAGATCCTGAACGTTGTGCACAACAAACTTCTTGAACCCATTGGGCAGAAAAAATCGGGTCTTCTTGTCGGAACCGTAGCCAATGTTTGGCATGAGAGTGCTTCCTTTGAACTTTCTTCGCACCCGAGAATCAATACCCTTGGGCCTCCTCCAGTTTTCCTTTCAAAGTGAAAACATAACAAAACATGAATCAAGATTGATAGTTATTGCTTGGTACTCCTAGTTACTGTTAAGCATAACTACAATTACACCAATACAACCATAAACCAATTATAATCCCACAAGAATGACACATTTAAATACACTCTGCTCCGTAATAGAACATTATATGACGTAACAACTCGTTTTGGATTCACATATACACCATACGATGATAAGTTGTACATTTGGCTGCATAGATTTGCAATTTATAGGGAGATAGAAATAGTTTGTGATGCAAAGCAATCTGAAAAACAAACAGGGGAAATGTCTGCCAACTGAGCATAAAACTCCTTAGCACAGTTTTCTTTTCTACTAAATATTAAAATTTCATCCACACTTTCTTTAACAAATACAACAAACATGAAATAAGTCATTTTGTACAACAATAAATTACTGATTTTGTAAATGACTGCAGAGATAGAGAACATCAAAATAGAAACCCTAATTTCAAAGTGATACAGCAAAGAATCATAACAGATAATGAGAATCAGTGATTTAATAGCCAAACAAAACAAGAGGAATCAAATGAGGCAAACCTTCAGACAGGCATATCTGTCACTCTGCGGCCTCTTGAACTTCTTGACACGCTTCTTCACAATCTTCTTGTTGAGCAACGGGACGGCCATCTTCCTTACCTGGAAATCAGATCAAAACTCAAAACCTTCAGTAAAGATGTGCCAACAACGTATCAAAATCATTGTTCCAGTTCCAGATCTCGATTCGAGAGGAGTTCTATGCAGATAGCGTCAGTAGGAAGTATAATAATCAATATGAATCGGAGATTGTGGAAATCGAAGGCGAGAAATCGAAAACCTACCTGGGACGAGAAGCAGTGAGAGCTTCCCTGGGAACGCGAAGGAGAAGGCTGCGTTTAGGGTTTTCAGGCCCAGATTTATTTATAAAAAAAGTGTAGGAAGAGTGGACCGGATTTTTTTCTTTATTCGAAATGGGCTGGATCTTAAGAGTACCCCTAGGGCTTAGCATAGCCCACAAACTATATTTTCCTAAACACGTCGAAATATCCGAGCCCATCAAAATTCAATCCATTTCTTGGGATTTGGTGTTAACAAATTTTGAAATAACTAATTTTGAGAACAAAAATCAGCAAAAAAACAAAACAAAACAAAAATAAATGTGAGAAATTTACTTAAATATCATTAAAACATAATGACTTTCCCTAAATAGCACCACATGTGTTTTTCTTCCTAATGTAGTACTTTTAGTCATTATGCATTAGTCATTATTCAAGTAAATATTTGTCATCACTAGACATTATGGACATTGTTAAGTGCTATTTAGAGAATAAAATAATTTAAGTGCTATTTAGGGAAATGAATTAAGTTTTAGTACTATTTAGTGCAAATATTTCAATAAATGTCTACTAACGTTTGTTTCATTCAACTTTTTACTTATTTTTATTAAAACAAAATCTGATTACATCAGATAAGATCGAGTTAAATCAGATTCAATCTGATCAGATCAGACTAATTCAGATCACATCTGAAATATTTTTAAATATAACTACATTCAGATTCAATCAGATCACATTAGGCCTGATCGGCTTGGATCAGGTGAACGTAACACAACCTAAATCCCAAAATTCAATTAAGTTGTCCGGGTTAAATTCGCATTATAAGTGAATGTAATTTATTTGTAAAATTCATAAATATTGACCAAGTGAAATATGTGTAAATCATTCTTGTTGTTTTTAGTCTCGCTATCAATTCCAAGAAGTTTTTTATATTTACTTCGTAGTACTTTTTTCGGATTGTATTGCAGAGTTGTTTTTCCATAGTCTTAAGACCCACATGTAAAATTTGGATTTTTTTACACTTTTCATGAGTTGAAAAAGTATCTTTTCTTTTTGTAAATGCTTATTTTTTAAGATATCAATTCAGTGACGTACGTAAAATGAACATGAACCTCATGATCACATAAGAATTTTCATGTATTTGTAGAGAGCTTATATGGTGCACCTTGGGTGCATACTATTTTTGTTGACCTTTTTACATAATTTTTTTTTATTTTTTTATGAATTTTTTATGTTTAAACAGTACGAAAATATTTATTTTGTTCATATATAGATCCATAGTGGACCTTAAGTCCATCAAAGAATTTGCCGTATTTGTAAGCTATAGTAATTTTTTAAGGCTATGCCAAACATACATATATATACGATATCTACAATGCATGCATGACTATAACGAAGATATCACTCCGTATGACTTATCATAGCATATCTTAATCAAAAACTTTTTGGGTAATTAATCAATATACTACTTTTCAACTATTTTACGGAGTATCTCACTTTATGTTTCATCTTTTTTTAGTGTTTAAGGTAGAGGTTCTCCTTGTCTATCTAAAAGATATATTCTTAAGGAGATTTAAAGTCCACTTAAAATTTGTTAACGTTCTCAATACTTACATAAATACTTTCATAATGGTATGATAAATATTTATTTAATTTGTTAAGTTAGATAGTTCATAATGTTATGTATTTAATTTCTTATCCTTTAAAAAATTATTTTTATTACGAGTAATAAATTTATGTGAAAAATTCTACTCACTCAGTCGCCCCATTGCATAAAACACTTTACATTTTCTTTATTTGAAAGTCCTAAAAAATATTCACTTCCCTTATTTTCTGCTTCCTCCGTCCCAGTTTAAATCGCTTGTTTTGATTTACAATTTTTTAGTCAAGTCCTTATGTTTAAGGAGAAAGGTGAGGAGTAGACTTGTGGTACCATTGCACCTTTTAATACTACTAGGATCTACTTCCCAATACAATAAAGCAATTTAGTGAATTTACGTACACAATCGCATTTTGGAGACATGGCAACCCAAAGTCGAGTTGACACTTTAAATCACATCAGAAATAGGGCACATCTACTGCATGTGTGGGTGGTTAAACTAAACACATTAGCCCGCCCGAGGGCGGGATTAGGTTAATTATAATTACCTGCGGCACATACATGCCCATTCACAGTCCTCATCATAAGCTGATTATTAATCAAGGCTTATTAGTGGACTTCTTTGATCTCCTCTTCAACACCACCGTCCAAGTCATCACTTCCAGTGCCAGTGCCACCGCCCCCAGAGCGGCAAGCACCGCTATGTATGCAGATTTCCACTTCTCTGCCGGGCTTAGTATGCTCAGGCCTTCGAACACATTGAAGATGCCAAGAACAAGCACTCCATACCCAACTCCATGGTGGTAGATGTTCCAGTAGTTTCTGTACTTGTGATCCTTCTCCGGCCTCACTAGCAATGCAAACACCTGCACATTCGTAAAACAAAAAACAAGTTCAATCTAATCAAAGAGCCCATTAGTCTTTGGACAATTAAGTTGTAGCATTACAATGATATGAAAAATGTGACATCAAGAACAAAAATAACAACGTACTCAGTAAAATCCCATGATTGCAAGGTCTAGGGAGAGTGTATATGCAGAACTTACCTAGCTCTACACGAAAGTGAAATGGTAAAAATGGGAGTAAAGAACTTAGAAGGGAGATTTACCTGCAGGGTTGCAAGGCAGAAGAGTGCAATCCCGATAGAGCGATGGTTGTCGTGTTGAACACCCTTGGAGCTGCTCCCTAACATGAGGCCAGTGGCCCAGCCAGCAACACCAATGGCATATGCAGAAACCTGGCAAGCAATGTGGAGATAAAACCATGCTGGGTCTGCAGATTTGAAGGTTCTCATGTACCTGGCTATCATGATTCCTATTGGAAACAGAAATCCCCAGCTCACTGCATTAAGCATTCCATGAATCTGTACACAAATTTGAAGTAGAAAAATCTGCTAATTAATTGAGCTCTTAAACTCTATATGGACAAAGTGATTAGTTGGCTGTGTGTCTGTATTCCAACTTCACAATTGCCCAACAAAGTGACCAAATAATGAAATAATGCAAAAACAGTATGAAATCAACAAAAGAAGAAGAAGAGAAACAGACCATGAGAAAAAGGCATAAGTATGAGCAATCCAGTTTCTAAATAAGTACTGTAAAAGGGATTAATGGATTATAGGGTTTGGGGAAACTCACATTCTTCTTCTTCAACCTAGAATCGCCGCCAGCCTCAATTCTGGATGTGCTATTGCTGCTCTCCCCTTTCAACAGATCCAGAGTCCCTTTGGAGTTCAAATTAGCGGGCTGGAGAGCATGCCTGTCGGGAACGCCGCCGGTGACGGAGGGGCCGACCTGCCAAACATGGTTGATCGTCGACGTGTCCATCTCGGGAAGCACCACGGTCGCGAACAGCCGCATCACGCCGCCACTTGACTCCGCCGCGGCCTCCTTCACCCGGAACCACACACTGGACTCCTGAACGGAGGCGTAAGAGGTGACATTGTAGGTCTTAACGGTCATTGCGCCCTTGGAATCCCTGAACGCGACGAGGGATTGGGCGCCAATCATGCCGTCGCCGGTCGGATTGATGGCCCAGGAGATCCATCCGACGGATTCGGCGACGAATGCGAGGGAGAGAGTGGAGTTGGCGCGGGAGTAGGTCCAATGGATGTAGGAGGCGAGGGTTGGTAGGTCATTGCAGTGAGCGAAGAGCCCGTTCCTGGTCGGAAATGTCTGCGATGAGCAGGTCTGCGAGTCCGACGGCGAGATTGTAGAGAGAAGAAGAAGCAGAAGAAGGGTTAGGGCAAGGAAAGATGGAGTCGGTGGCGCCATTACTGAGAGGCGAGAGAGAGAAAATTCCGTAGCTCTGTACAAATATGGTCTGCTCGCTGAGGCAGAGATACGCTCACAGAGTCACAGGGAACGGAAGGGTATAAAGCAGTCAACGTCCAGTGGGTACCCGATGCACTTTTGGACCCCGTAGTCATTTGAGGCTGATACCCTCACACTTTTGGACAACGTCTCTTTTTTGTTTTGCTTTTTAATACCTTTTGGTTGTGGTTTATTTTACGGAATATAAAAAAAGAAAAAGTACTTGGTGAACTCCACTTGAGTATACCAAATGTACATCAAGATAAAAATAGTCACACATATATTTAATATTTGTGCATTCATTGATTACCATATCTTATCATATGTATGTGTATATCTAATTTAATGTTTAGCACTTCCAAAAAAGGAAATGAAACTCAATCATAAGATCATTGTAAGTCTAACTGTTGTTTCATCCCTTTCGATGTTACATCAAAATACTTGTAACGTTATTGACCCTCACCCTACCTCTCCATTTATATTACAATATTCATCATTTTTATATAAAAGTTTCAATAAATTTAGTAGGTATATTTATTCATTAATAGAAAATAGAAAAATGAAGTGGTATTTAATTTAACAATACATTAATTGTTACAAGGTCTTAATTTGAATGTACCAAAATGCCCTTGTGATATTTATTGTTTATCTTAACTTTAACACTATGTTTGGTTCAGGGAATCTGAAAACAAACAAAAAAAGATTTTCTCTCATTTTCTCCACCAGAGTGAGTGGAATTTGGTTTTCTCTCAACTTAGCACATTTTGCCTTCTAAGTTTCATGTCTTTCCACTTTTCTTTCCTTTTTCTCACTAACCAAACAAGAAAAACGGTTTCAAACTCTTTTTCTTTTTCCTTTTCAATTCCTTGAACCAAACATAATATAAATCAAAACCGAAACCTATCGCCGTTACACACGCATTGCAATCACCGTTGATCCACCACCGCCCAAGCATTGCTAGCCGCCATGCACCATGCTAATCACAAATTTGTTTTGTTAATATTCATCACTTTTTCAACGAACATTACTAATTCAACATTTTCACATTTTCAATGCTCATTGTCGCCTTTAATATTATCCAAATTAGTGTATGTCGTCAATGTCAATATATGTGAATTGCGTTGACCTCGACTCAATTTTAATGTCCACCGACTTACTCCCAAACAATGTCCCCCCCTCGTGATTGTCCATGATGTACAATATATAATGTCTTTGTGAAGAAGAATCATGCGTAGCAAATTAATATTGTCTCTTTTCAAATAGAAGAAAATGCAGCAATAAATCCAAATAAAATTTTAGCAAAGAAAATACCCCTATAAACAAAAATTATGTCAAAAAATTGAATAACAATATGATACAGTAATTCATTATAGAATAAAACGACTATTTATTTGTTGACAACCAGTTATTTTAGTTTGATTATTCCACTTGTATTCCTTCTCTCCATATTAGGGAGTAATTATAAAAAGGGAAGAGTATTATATTTTGAGACACGAAAATAACACACAAAAATTATTCCCCAACTATTTTATGATTGCAGCAGCTTCAATTGAATGCAAGATGGGGAATCGTTTATGGTCCTTGGCATTGGGGACAATCTGGACGCACTGGTACGGACGGACCACCACCACCACCACCATAGGAACAACATCTAGCGCACTTCCCATTCCTCAAGCGGTGGCAGCAGGCGGAGGTGCATGATCCGCCGGCATAGCCACCGCCCCTCGGGAGGTCACCGCCGTAGCCTCCTGCTGGGTGGTAGGCGGCGCCGGGTTCTCCATCTGATGAGGTGGTCAGGGAAACCAAAAGCAAGACGAGGAAGGAGAAAAGAGCAATCTTTGAATTGCCCATCCTCTTCGAAGTTCGTCTGCAGGTTGGATTGTTTATCAGAATTGGACTGTCTGTTTGATTTAGAGCATCTCTTCTTATTTATAGGAAGGATTGGGTAGATTTTAGATTTACCGGAAGACGAGTCCAGGACGGCGGCGGCGGCCGTCGGCCCCTCATTCGGCAAGTGGTCTAACAGAGTTGTCTTTAAAATATTTTATCCGTCACTCCCACCAAATTAAAAGAAATAAAACAAAAATGAAGTCTTTATTGGTGGCTGTGGAAATTTCTTGACATCCTCTCCAAAAGAGAGGTTTGCCTTGTGGAATTGGGAAGAACACGGGTTTCTTTCTCCCATCAAAATGGAAATTTGATTTTCATAATCTCACCTGATGCTGGCAAGAATCACTGTACCTTACCCAGAAAGAAAAACAAGAAATGGAGACATCTCTCTACCTCTGGGTGTTCTTCATCGTCCTTCAACATTATTGTACCAACAATTGCTCCTCTGCATTCTCTTCTTCCACAGATGAAGCTGCTCTTCTTTCACTGAAAGCCCATATGATCTCAGTCCCTTCTTCACTGGAAACTAATTGGTCTACCGGGAGTCCCGTCTGCGATTGGCTTGGGGTCACCTGCAATTCCCAACCTCCAAGAAGAGTCACAGCTTTGAACCTCTCGAATCTGAATCTGACCGGAGAGCTTCCTCCCCATCTGGGTAATCTCTCTTTCCTCACTTCCCTTGACCTGAGCAACAACAATTTCCGGGGAACTCTCCCTGCCCAGCTCGCAAGTCTCCGCCAGCTGCGTCTCCTCCAGCTCAACGACAATGGCTTTGGGGGGCAAATCCCAGAATGGCTCGGATCTTTGTCTGGGCTTCAAAGGTTGTCTCTTTCAGACAACAAATTCGTGGGCGAAATCCCTCCCTCTTTTTCCAATCTATCCAAACTGGAGCAACTGGAAGCGTTTTCCAATTCTATAGAGGGAAACATTGGAGGGTGGATTTGGAAGCTTGGCAGTTTGAAGTTTCTTGATTTGTCCATGAATAAACTCAGCGGCGCTTTCCCATCACAGCTTTTTAACGTCTCCACTCTCCAGCACATTGCTTTGGGAGACAACAACTTGTTGGGAAATCTCCCCTTTGACATGTGTCGCCGGCTTCCTCTTCTTGAAGTGTTTGTGTTGGCTAACAATGCATTGGGTGGTCAAATCCCTTCGGGTTTGTCGAACTGTTCACAGCTCCATGAGCTGACAGTGTCAAGCAACAGATTCGATGGGGTCATACCTCAGGGAATTTGGAAACTAGAGAAGCTGGAACAGTTATATCTAGGACAAAACGGATTCTCCAAAGGTATGCATGAGTGTATGTATAATCCATTATTGCATTATATTCTCTTGTTTTAACAAACAAAAGTTTCAATCTTGGGATGATATGGTAGGTGTGATCCCGCAAGAGATAGGCCATCTTCGAAATCTCAAGGGTTTAGGCTTGGGTGGAACTCAGCTTACAGGCCTCATACCGGTAGCCCTATTCAACATTTCAACACTTGAGGATGTACACCTTGAACATAATAGCTTGCATGGTAGGTGAAAGAATACTAAATCTTATTGAGCAATTGATCATACTTGGTTTATGCTCTTAGGGTTTTTTTGTTTGTTTTGTTTTGTTTTGTGTAGGCGAGATACCAAAAGAGATAAGCAAGCTCCACCAAGTAACATATATCAATTTGTCCAACAATACTCTTAGTGGTCCTATACCAGTTGGTATAGGGAACTTGTCAAATGTTATAGGACTTCATCTCTATGGGAATCACCTTAGCGGAACCATACCGAGCTCCATTTCAAACTTGACCCAACTCCAATCACTACAGCTAATTGGTAATGAATTAGTTGGAGAAATTCCCCTCTTCCTTGGAGACCTAAGGTTCCTTGATTTTCTAAATATGGGCTACAACAATCTCACTTCTCAAGGACTGAGTTTTATCACATCACTTACCAGGTGCCAAGACCTTAAGGTCCTGATTGTAAGTGGAAACCCATTGAATGGAAACATCCCAACTTCCATTGGCAACTTCTCATCTTTAGAGAAATTCTATGCGGATGGCTGCAACATTAGTGGGGTCGTTCCGGGCGAGATTGGGAACTCGGTCGAATTAATTCTGTTAAGCTTGAATGACAATTACCTGACCGGACCGGTTCCACGTACGATGAAGGGCATCCAAGGACTGTTCCTTCAAGGCAATGCCATTGATGGGTCCTCACTGCACGCGCTCTGTGAATTTCATAGCCTTCTCAATCTCAACCTCATCAACAACAATCTCTCTGGTCCAATCCCAGAGTGCTTAGGGGAAATCACTTCTCTAAGATATCTTTTACTTGGTGATAACAAGTTGACGACCATACCACCCGGTGTTTGGAACCTTAGAGATATCATGGAGCTAAATGTATCTGCGAATTCCATTCACGGTCCCATATCCCCCCTTATGAAGAACCTAAAGGCAGTGATAAAGATAGATCTTTCAAAGAATCAGTTCACGGGTGAAATCCCAGACATCTTCAGTGAGATGATAGACATGCAACATCTGTATTTGGGACATAATAAGTTGACTGGCTCTATTCCTGGTTCACTTGGCAAAGCCATCAGTCTCGAAGTACTGGACCTATCACATAACAATATTTCGGGTTCAATCCCAAGATCCTTGGAGCATCTTAAACATCTAGCAAAGCTTGACCTTTCTTTCAATCATCTAAGTGGGGAAATTCCTTCCGGTGGCCCTTTCAAAAACTTCACAAATCTACTCTTTTCGTCCAACAAAGAATTATGTGGCGACTCGAGGTTTCATGTCCCACCGTGTCCTCGTCACTCAACTAACAGCCTAGGGCCAAGGAAGATTCTCCTACTTGTACTCATACCTGTGGTTGGGAGTACACTGCTTGCACTTGCCCTGGTTCTCATCTTCATATGGAGAAGACACGGAAGGAAAGATGAGAATACAGGAAGAATCGAGTCCGGGTGGTACAAGGAAATGGAAAGAATTCCCTATCATGAACTTGTTGAAGCAACAAGTAAGTTCAGCCAAGGCAATTTGCTTGGATCAGGAAGCTTCAGTCATGTCTACAAGGGAGTTCTCAGAGATGGGTCATTAGTGGCAATAAAAGTTTTTAATCTGCAAATGGATGATATCTTCAGAAGCTTTGAGGTTGAGTGTGAAGTTTTACGAAATGTTCGTCACAGAAATCTTACCAAAGTGATCAGTAGTTGTTGCGCAGAGGAATTCAAGGCCTTGGTTCTGCAGTATATGCCGAAGGGAAGCCTTGAACAATGGTTGTACTCCCACAACTACTTCCTAAGTTTCATCCAAAGGCTAGACGTATTGATAGATGTTGCATGTGCCCTGGAGTATCTCCATTATGGGTGTTCGCCGCCTATTGTTCACCGTGATCTAAAACCCAGTAATGTCCTTCTTGATGAAGACATGGTTGCTCATGTGAGTGATTTTGGGCTTGCAAAGTTGTTGGTAGAAGGGCAAAGTATAAACCACACAAATACCCTGGCAACAATAGGTTATATTGCACCGGGTGAGTTTTGATTTGTTTAGTTCTATAACTTGCTTATTGAAATTTTGAGCAGTCAAATCAGTCAGTCAGGTCAGATTCGGGTTTGGGATACTTCGGGTTCGGGTTGAGAAGTGTTTGTTCATGGCCCAGTGTCATTAGGTCCGGGTCGATACAACGGATATTACCTTTATTTTTTAAAAAGAAAAAATAAGAAAAATCCTAGTGTCTATAGTACTAATAAAAAAACTAAAAATGTAGACGTTATGGAAAAAAAGTAAGATAATTATGTGATATCATTAAAATTTTGTATAAAAATATAAATTTATACGTTAAAAAAGAGTAGTAGGAAAAGAAATATATTTGTAATCTTATTTTTATAACATTAGATTTTATATTAAAGTATATGATTTTGAAAAATTTTACATTAGCTGGTCGGTCAGGTCGAGTTTAGGTTTGGTCGGGCTCGACCCATCTTCGCGGGTCATTTTGGGTTCAGACAACAAAACCGTTGTTCAAAACCCAATATTTTTGGGTCAGGTCTCGGGTCAAAAACATGTCAGGTCATTTTTTGCTAGCTTGACAGCAAAAAAAACCAATACATAAATGTTAATGTTGTTGCAGAATATGGATCACATGGAATGGTGTCAACTAAATGCGACGTGTATAGCTTCGGTATCATAACGATGGAGATTTTTACAAGAACAAAGCCCAACGACGAAATCTTCTCTACGGATTCAAGCTTGAGGGAATGGATCAGAAGTTGTACTCCTCATGCAGTAATCCAGGTTGCGGACGCGAACTTGGTAAGGCCAGATGAACATCAAAAGCTGAAGGTTTTGTCATCTATCTTGGAATTAGCTTTGCTTTGCTCAATGGAATCCCCTAATGAGAGGATGGGCATGAAATATGTTCTTGTTGAACTGAATAAGATCAGAAGGGAGTTTCTTTCACACTGCCTAAGGTAGTAAAATGTTTTTGAGACTCTTTGGCAACAATAATAGATGCTATAGTGTTTTCAAAAGGCTGTCTAATGACAACATTTGACTTTAGCGTTTTCAATGTAAAATGTAAATCAATAGCATTAAAATTTTATCTAAAATGTTAACGCTAAACGAAAACGTTGTTTCCGAAGAAGGTTGAATGTGAAATCTTGTTGTGCTCGTTTGGTACCTCGTATTTTTTGAAATAGTTATCACATGTTTTCGTTTTGAGTTCATTGTCGCGTGTAATTATGGTACAGAGTATGATGATGGTGAAATAATTTTTTTTTAATATTGTCTTCTCTAATTATTCATGGAAAATCCGACAAAGTTTTACGTTGGTTGTCGAGACTTAACAGCCAACACCACCCTCCGCACATTGGATTGGTTGTCTCTTCGAAATTTTACCTCCTAGGACGATCAATACAGACTCCCTCCATCCCATATGCGATAACAATCTTTCACTTACGCGGTAAAATCTTACTTTTCTAAAAAAATTAATTTATTCAAGAATTTGTATAAGAATAATTAATAAATATACATACTAAAAATTATGTTGAAAATTTTACAAAAATAAGAGGAGATGATAATATTTTTTATATTAAATAATTCATAAAAATATACAAATAAACTAAAGTTATTGAAAAAAATACACAAATAAACCAAAGTTATTGAGAGCTATAACAAAAATTGGACCATTCTAGGGTGTCTCCAAATGATTGTTATCATGGGTGTACCCAAGCTTTGAACAGATAACACCAATGATAATCATCTGTGCGAGGTTTGGGTGCACCCATAGTAACAACTATTTGGGGGACACCCTAGCATTTTCCAACAAAATTACTTAGTATAATCTGGGACGAGGTGAGTAAGGGAGTGTTTGGCACTGTGTTACTCTTCAGAATTTAGCTTCTACCTTGGGTGGTAATCATTTTATTATGTTTGGCATATCAATTTCTGCTTTTCTTCACTATCATTTTGTATATAGAATACTGTTTCGGAAAAACAGATATACTACGTATAATATTTCTGCTTTCCGTTTTCGTCAAAATCATTTTATTCACAAATTAATCGATCAAACACCCTCTAAATAATCCCCTAAATAATAATATAATTCTGTTGCACTTTTCTGCAAATGCTCTGCCGCCGATGGCATTCTGATTCGCCGCTCTCAAACGCAAACACGTCCACAGCCGATTCGGATGTTCTCTCATAATCAACAGCCAAACTATTCCCCACGGCGGCCGACGGGAGGGGAGATTTGATTTGAGAGGCCGTGTATGGAGGAATGATGGAAGGTCTGCATAGACGGATAGACACATGGATCAAAGATCAGAGTGCCAGGATCACGAGCATCACGCGTTCGCAACTACGGTGGCCAACGGCGGTGAAGTGGCCGTGGGGCGATGGAAAAGAGCACAGGAAGCGGATTCAGGAGGAATATGAACGGAGGAAGAAGCAACTCAAGGATCTCTGCTTTGCTGTAAAGGCCGAATCCGTCTCCGATTTGCAGGACATCCTTTGCTGCATGGTGCTGTCTGAGTGTGTTTACAAGGTTAGTGCTACTACCGATTCAAATTTCGTGCAAGGTTATTGTAAATTGAAGCTAATTGCCTGCTCATTTGATTCTAATAAATCGGGCAGTGGATTACTGATTATTAGTCAGAACCCGTGATCATTCATAAACCTTCTAGACTTTAGTATTATTCATCAACTCTGAATTATATGATTCTGCGTGAATCAGAATTAGCCGAAGAAAGAACGCAAATCAAATTGGCCATAAGTGTTCCGAGTGCATCTAATTTTGATTATTGTACTGCCGGGGTTCTATTGAGTAATGAGCATAATTTTGGGAACTAATCAATCAGAGCAAACAGCAACAGCCAACCCAGCAAAATCCCACAAAAATGGGTATGGGGTTGGTGTATAGTGTATACACACCTTCCTAAAGAAGGTAGATAGGCTAATTATCAACTAAAGCTAACTGTGATGATCTAATTTACTCACTAGATGAGTCAGTTTCAAGAGTGACCAAGTATTATTTTGCATTGACCCAACCCATTATCTTGCATCTCAAAACATTACTTAATAATTTCAGAGAAATGCATCTGACATTGTACGGGCGGTGAACAAATTTATGGCTGATTTTGGAGGAAATGTTTCTATAGAACGGGTTCAACCCTCTTCAGATCATGTTCCACACAGGTACATTTTGTATATTGAAAACATTATTGTCCTAATTTTGAAGGAAGAGCTTTTTGCTTCAAAAATTTCAGGTTGGTGTATCTAATATTTGTATAGTGTGCATCACAGCATCCTCATACATTGGGGTGATAAATATCTCTCATTTTACTTTCTAGGTATTTACTAGCTGAAGCAGGAAACACATTATTTGCTTCATTTATTGGGACCAAGCAGTACAAGTAAGTGATATTTCGTATCATGTTTTCAAATATTTTTATCTTCGATTTTTATTCCAATATCAAATGTTCATATCATTTCATATTTTTCTCCCATTTTCTATTCATAAAGGGATGTCATGGCTGACGTGAATATATTTCAAGGTGCCATATTTCATGAAGATCCCACGGAGAACTTCAATGAGAATGAATCCACACAAGTGGAAACTGAGAAAAACAATGTTGAAAATTTCTCAAAATCTATGGACTTGATGCCTAAACCAACAAAATCAATGCCAAAACCAGCAGTTCACAAGGTATTACCTTTCCTGATGCATTTTTCTGTCGTACAACATTTTGATGAATGCTCTTTGCTTCCAGTGATGCAATCACTTCATTTTGTGTGTATGTTGTATGTATATAATTTTCAATTCCCTCATTTTAGGGATTCATGGCTCGTGCTAAGGGAATACCTGCATTGGAGCTGTACAGGCTTGCCGAGAAAAAGAAGCGGAAGCTTGTGTTATGTGGACATTCTCTTGGTGGAGCTGTAAGTTGGTTTTGCTTGCTACTTTGGTATATGAGTGACTGTGTGTGTGTGTGTGTATGTAATGAATAATGTTGGAGCCTCAAAATTCTTGCTTTTGCATGCAATCCATGACACTGAATGCAATTATTTCGCTTTGTTTTTCAGGTTGCAGTATTAGCAACTCTTGCAATTTTGAGGGTAGTTGCTGCTTCATCAAAAGAACATGAAAAAGTTCAGGTGAAATGTGTCACATTCTCACAGCCACCAGTTGGAAATGCTGCTTTAAAAGAGTAAGCTGATTTTTACATTTTTTGTCATGTACTCTGTCCCGTACTTTCCTTATCATATTGACTTGGCTCGCATTTTAATGAAGTAGAAACTACGTGATTGAGTCTAATGCAGAGGAGAGACAACTTAAAAGGATACTCGAAGGAATTTTTTAGGCCATCCTAAGAAGGACAACCTTAGGAAAATTATGTGACTGAGGGAGTAGAAATTATTAGTTGTGTAGCTTGATGACTATTTTTTTTTATCTTCTTCTTCAGTTACGTGAATAGCAAAGGGTGGCAGAGCTATTTTAAAACCTATTGTATTCCAGAAGATTTAGTACCTCGTATATTGTCTCCTGCATATTTTCACCACTATAATGCTCAGCCTCTACCAACACCATCTGATGTTAGTGGTTTGACATCCATATCAAAACCAAGAGGGATGGATACAAAGAAGAATGAAAAGAGAAAAGAGAAGGATGGGGAGCAGCTGGTGCTGGGTGTAGGTCCAGTCCAGAACCCATTTTGGAGACTCTCTAGGCTTGTGCCTTTGGAGGGTGTTAGAAGCCAGCTCTATAGATACAGTGGCAAGAAAGATGAATCTCTTGAGACATCAGACAGCAGTGGTTCAGCATTACCATCATCACTTAATGATATATCTGCCCCACGGTCTCTTGAAATCCAGGAAGGTTCTGATGGAATTACTCTTCGGCCATTGCCCCAGGCAGTTGAAGATACTTCTAGTGAACTTAAAAATGGAAAATTTTCTGCAAGTAATGGAGAGAAGAGGTCACGAAGAATAATGCCTTCATTACCTTCATATGTACCGTTCGGCCAGGTTGATATACTGCATTCCTATTTCCTACACGAGCCGTGCGCTTTATCACCTTGTTAAAAATGGTCATTAACCTTTTCATTTTCACCATGGCATCCGTACATACATATTTATATAGTGGATTGTAGAATGTTTGGTTAGCCTGTGTTATTGCTGATGAATAACAAAGATCATATTTGGCCATTTAAGTTCCTCTCTTTCCTTTAGTCATTTTCATAATTATTAGCGCCTTAATGCCAACTAGTTGGGGTCAGTAACATTAGATTTATAGTGTCAATCATTTGTATAAATTAAGGGGCTGTTTGGCAACTTCTGAATAGGTAAGTGCTGAACCAGTAAGAGGTTTGAACCATTAAGAGCTAGTATATTGCTTAACTATTTAGAGGCAAATGTCTGATCAATTCAGATAAGAGGTCAAACCATTCACACTCTGTATAATACTTAACCATTCAGAGGCAAATGTCTATCAGACATTTGAACCATTAAGAGGCAGAAACAAACAGTCTAAACCATTAAATGCTGAACCATTCAGACATTTGAACCATTAAGAGGCTGAAACAAACAGCCCCTGTGATTCATGCAAGAAAAAAAATATAGCATGTTGGCAATTTTTTCAAGTTGGATGCTCTTGTGCGTCAACTAAATATGCTTCAGTATGAGAATTTTTAGAAACTAACTAGATCATTTGTGGCAGCTTTTTCTTCTGGGGAGTTCATCAGTAGAGTTTCTTTCTGGTGCAGAATATTCCAAACTGATATCGGTACGAATTCTATTAGTTGACAATCTCAAAAAAGAATAGCAAAGGAGTTTGACAATAGTCTGTTAATTTATTTAACCGGGATAGTTTACCGAACTTCTCTCATTTTGCTCACTTTCTTATGGCAAAGACTTTTTCAGGTCAAATCTGTGCTTACTGAAGTAAGAGAACGATTTCAGTCACATTCAATGCGGTCATATAGGGCCCGGTTCCAAAGGTTATTGTTGCTACTTATATCGACCTCTTATTTTTATTAGATTTTCATGATATTTCTTAAGAGAGTTAGATGATACCGAGCTTGATTGTGTGGCTGTAAATCATTCTGTTGCTTATTTGTTACAGAATCTATGAGCTTTGTACAAGTGATGAAACTTTGACTTTTTTGGGGGTGGAGAAAACAACGAAGCAATTTCCGCAGTTGCAGAAGTGGTTAGGCATTTCAGTTGAAGGAGGTGCTGTTGAACTTGGGCATATTGTAGAACCTCCTATTATTCGTGCGGCCACCTCAATAGTTCCACTGGGTTGGAGTGGGGTTCCTGGTGACAAGAACTCTGACTCTTTAAGAGTTGACATTTCTGGCTTTGGATTACATCTATGCACACTTGTTCAAGCTCGGATTAACGGTCGCTGGTATGACTTTCATCATGTTTAATACTTCCTCCGTTCAAAATTAAACCTCCCATTTGTGTTTCACGGAGCTTAAGAAAACGTAAAATTGTGTGGTTGAGATAGTGATGAGGAGATAGAAATGATGTAAATCATTTATTGCTTTCATAAAAAGGAAATTTTGGGACAAATCAATAAAGAAAGACATTTATGTTGAGATAGAGGGAGTAATGCATTAGTCAGTTTTAATTTGGATTACAAGTGTCTATTGTTGCCAAGAATTCTTTTGAAGAAACCAAGTCCATGTCAACTAAGGAGTATATGATTCCAGCAGTTCAAAGGGGAAAAAACAATTGGATGCTATAATGGTGACAACTTTTTAATGATCTTTGATATCCTTACATGACATTCATCTGAGCCTCTATTCTAACAATATTGCACCAACCACACTATGTTACAGTGCACTATCATTTTAAAACTAATAAACCATTTTCATGGCCTCGGAGTGCATGCCTTATTATTTAATATTGGGCTGCTTTGCGTGTGTGTGTTCAATTGTTTTCTTTGCTTTTAAATACTTCCTCTGTACCTTTTTATTTTCATTATTTCTTTTTTTTTGTCAGTTCCAACAGTATCTCCTCTTTCCTTTTCAAATATTCCGTTGTTGATATTATTTTCTCTCTTCTAATCTAATTTCAACGACAATATCCACTTCATTAAAAATGACGCAATATCAAATGGGGAGTTCAGTAAAGGGGTGAAGGGATATGTCTCTGTTCCTGGAAAGGGATGAGGTACGTCGTACATGATGTATTGCCGAAAAGATTGGGAAGGAGTTGTATACTTTTAAATTTATTACATGCTTTTCATATTTGGGTTCAGATATTATATCGCAGCATTAGTGTCGCACAAAACCCTAGCCTCTGATGTTATGATTTTTGAAGTGTGACAAAATTGTTTTACTTTAATGTCGTAATATTTTGCAGATGCTATTTGGTGATTTTATTCTTTAAATTTTAATTCAGGTGTTCTACCACGGTGGAATCTTTTCCATCACAGCCAGAATACTCCGCAGGTCATGCACAACTTCCAGAATTACAGCACATGCGGGTTTCAATTGGAGCTCCACTAAGAAGGCCACCAAATCACCAAATGGGTGATGACATGTTACGGCCAATGTTCCCTCCTATAAATTCTGCCCGCATTGATCTGAAATCAATGCAAAGTGCTGCTTCACCTAGTGAGGGAAATCTTTTGCACCCCGATGGGTTAGATCTTGTCATTTTTTGCAGAACAGATTTTGGTACTGTCTCAAAAGTGGTTGACATAAGAACCCGCCGAGTGAGACTGATTGGCCTAGAGGTATTGTTTCAAAATATCTTTTATTCTCCCTCCGTACCATAAACAAGTCCACTTTCAAGAACTTCATGTCCAAAAAAAGCTAGGGTTAGAAGGAAACCTTAGTATTCTTGTTAAATTCCTTTAAGGTCATCATTTATACTCCCTCCGTCCCAGAGTATTTGTCCACTTTCATTTTTACACACCATCCAATACACTTCTTTAATCCATTTTATCTTGTAATTTGTATATTAAAAAATTATAGAAATTATATATTAGTAATCTATATGTTAAGACAAATCAAAAAAGATCACACATGACTATATTTAGACTTACACATTAAGAGAATTTGATGAGTCAAAGTGCTTAGATGAACAGTTCCAAAAGTCAAAAGTGGACGAATATAGCGGGACGGAGGTAGTAAGTTCTAGGGGTATAAGTGACCATTTATTAAGGGTCCGTTTGGTACATGGAATTAGAATTGAATTGAGAGTTGAAATTCTATGGAATTGATTTGAAAAGAATTGAGTTCTCCAATTCCAATTCATTTTTGGCACTACCAATTCCAAATCCACATATTTTTTGTGTTACCAAACAGCAGGATTAGAATTATTGTCCCCAATTCCAATTCCATAATTTGAATTCCGTGTACCAAACAGAGCCTAATTGTAAAAGTTTGTTCCTTGCGAATCAAGTTGATGTATGTAACTAGAAATTGTGCATTGTGTAGGGCGCTGGTAAAACTTCTCTTCTAAGGGCAATTTTGAATCAAGGAAGAGGTATGCCTAGTGGTTGTGCTGAGAATCTGCATATGGATGCTGATGTTCAAGAAGGCCTTATTGGTGGCTTGTGCTACTCAGATTCATCTGGAGTTAATTTGCAGGTTGTTTATTTCATTGACCTTCCACTTTTAGTCACTTCTTACAGCAACTTTCATTTTGGAAAGGTTTTTTCTTACCTTGCCTTCGATATAGTGTCCTTTGCTCAATTGTGGTTAGTATCCCAAATTGGTTGCATACTGGGTTTGAGTGCATCATACCATGTTAAATTGCGCTCAACTTACTCAAAATATTTGTCAAGATGTATTATACCTTAATTTATTTCAATTTTCCCCCCTAAGAGAACATGGTATCAAAGCATGGTGGTGGTTTGTGGGGAAGCCTGTTTGGAGGTAGCTTTCGGCCCATTTGTAAGTCATGTACAAAGTTTGAGGTTTGAGGTTTGAGTCAAGGCTAGGGTAAACATCATTACATCACCACTTGGAAATTATTTGGAGTAAGCTAAGACTAAATTTTTAAAGTTGCTTTAAATACAACAATCCCACAAAAGTAGGGACTGGGGGGTGTGTGTACGTAGACCTTATCTTTACTTGAAAGTAGGGAGACAGTTTCCAAAGACCCCCGGCTCAAACACCAGAGGTAATCACGTACGCAGCTTGACCCCTATATTTAAAACATTGTACGGCTGTTTCCAGATGACCCAAGATGAGCATCGATAGTTGAATTGACTGACTGCTACTTCACTATTAAAAGAAGCACATACAGTTCAAAGTACCATTTTGCTTTATTACTTCATACCCCAAAGCCAAAAAAGAGTGAATCTTTGGCTCTATGTGAGATGATGGAAAAAAAGAGTGAATCTTTGGCTCCATCATACCCCAAAATTGCTTTAAATGAATTTGCAAATTCCACGCAGATTACTTTTTTATCCTACCTATGTTAGTGAAGTATATGAAACAGCTCAAGTCTTTAGGATTCTGTTTGCAGAATTTGAAAATGGAGGCATCTTGTTTCAGGGACGAACTGTGGAAAGGTATTCGTGATCTTGGTAAGAAGACAGATTTAATCGTTCTTGTGCATAACTTGTCTCACCGGATACCTAGATACAGTGAACCCACTTCATCCTTCCAGCCCAAACCGGCTCTTTCCCTTCTCTTGGAGGAGGCTAAATCTCTTGGAATCCCTTGGGTGCTTGCCATTACAAACAAGTTTTCTGTGAGCGCACATCAACAAAAGGCAGCAATTGATTCTGTTCTTCATGCATATCAAGCATTTCCGAGCACAACTGAAGTAATCAATTCATGCCCGTATGTAATGCCCACTGCATCGGGCGATCCCATTGAAACCATGAGTCCTCATAAGCTGATATTTGCACCGCTTAGATTTGTTACAAGACCTTTTCAGAAGAAAGCTTCTGTTTTCCCAGTAGAGGGTGTATCTAATCTTTGTTGCATCGTGCATCGTGTGCTTCGAAGCTATGAGGAAGCAGCTTTTCAGGTACTTCTGTTGATTCTTTCTTTCTCATTCTCTACTAACCAATGTAATTTCCGCTCTGTTTTTTTAAGAGCCCCTCTTTGTCAAGCTCCTTTTGAAAAATGCCAGCTCAGACTACATCAATCTCTATTTTTCAGTTTTTAAAAAATGTTCAGTATATCTGTTTTTAGAGAGCCGGAATGACATAAACTGAAATGAAGAGTTTTGGTAATTCCCAAAGCTCCTAATAGTCCTGGATGATTTAAATAAAGTTGGTGTGGGCAAGGCTCAGCGAGCCATTTTGTTTTCAAGGATGAACACGCATTTTATTAGGGTTCGTAAAAGATTATACTTACAGGGGCGATAAACATATTCAAAACCTGGTTTCCTATTTTGCCTAGTCGCGTGTAGATTTGTAATTTTCAAAAATGTTTGGTGGGCATCATGGTCTACACCAAGATGTACACCAAACTTCATTTCTGCATTTCATAGACTTGTCTGTCTAGTGCAAAGATAAACCTTGATGTCCTCCACGAAGCAATCACTCGTCCTTTGCACACATGGTTTCCTCAAGTGTCAAGCTAGGATCACACCAAATGTTTCAAAGACATATAAAGATAGTCATTCTTTGAAAACACTTGGTGTCGAACTCTTGGTGTCAAAGCCGGTAGGTTTGTAGCAGTTTTGTTTCCTTAAACATTTGGAATTCATGTGCATTTCTTTTTTTTTTTCATCCGCGTGAAGGAGCTGGCCAAAGACAGACTTTTCATGGAATTGGTGAGGGAGCATGCAGTCGCTGCCGATGCAACCCGAGAGGCGACGGCAAAGGAAAATGCCATTTCCGCAGCAGCAGTGGGAGCTTCCCTCGGAGCTGGCATCGGCATTGTGTTTGCTGTAGTCATGGGTGCTGCTTCTGCTTGGAGAAAACCTTGAAAAGCTTTGGCTAAAATCCACCATTGGTCCTTCAACTTTAGCAGTTGTGCACGATTGGTCCTTCAAGTTTCAAAAGTCCATAAATAGTCCTTCAACTTTATGAGTTCTGCACCATTGATTCTTCAAGTTTTAAAAGTTCATAAGTAGTCCTTCAGGTACACGTCAACCCTCCATATGAAGTCCTTTTGACAATAAATATTAAAAGTTAAACAAAATACTAGTTTCATATAATACGAGTAAATTCTACTAGGTACGACTACTCCATATTATATGGAGCTAGTATTTCATTTAGCTTTTAACATTTACTGTCAAAAGGACCTCAGCTGGAGGGCTGGAGGGCTGACGTGTACTTGAATGACTATTTATGCACTTTTAAAACTTGAAAGACCAATCGTGCATTATTCATAAAGTTGAAGGACTATTTACGGAGTTTTAAAACTTGAAAGACCAATCGTGCACAATTGATAAAGTTAAAGGACCAATGGTGGAGTTTAGCCAAAAGCTTTTAGTCCCCACCCCTCCCCCACCACCTGTTTTGGTAGATGGAATGACTAGTTCTTTTTTTCCCCACTTGAAATAACTGAAATGTGAATATGTGTACAATATAGTTCGATTTTGTTAGGCAAGAGGAAGGATATAAACTATTTTTTCATTATTTCATTTTAGTCGTTGATTCAAGTGTCCCTTGACAGAAATGTGTGGTTGAGATCTGTTTTTTTTTTCTTTCATTTTTTGTGTTTTTCTAAGTATCAAATAGAAGTACATGAATGAAATACAATCACTATGTTTGGTAAGGAATTCGGGGGAAAAAATGATTTTTTCTCTTTTTTTTAATCAAAATGGGATGTATTTTGTTTTCTCTCCTCTTAATACATTAGTCTTTTCATTTTTTTCTTTTTCACTCTAAACAAACAAGATTTTTTTTTTCTATGTTGACTTTTTTTCTTTTTTCTTTTTCAAATTCTTTGTACGTGTATGTAATTTGGAAGACTGTAAATAGCACAATTGGTTTATCGAGACGTACGCGCAATGCAATCGTGTAAAAATCTCAAATTTTTGGAGGGCATTGACATAAATTTTCCTAGAATAATTTGTAAAATCTCAATTTTTTTTGAGAGTATTGACATAAATTTCACTTTTTTTTATGACAAGAGATTCACTTTTTACCACAGAAGTGCAAAAACAGACTGGAAAAAAGGGGGGAAAAGAAAAAAACAGCCCAAAATTATGTGGAACAACAAGCAGTGTATATGTTCTTACTGTGACTACTACCACCACTCGTCCCCCCATTGGAGAGGGCGATGCCGGCGAGGCTAACCCGGTGGTCGGCGGAGGCGAGTTGGGGTTTGTAGTAGGAATGGGAGGAGACGTCAATGAGGTTCCGGCGGGCGTTGTTGTAAATCTCCCTGGCGGCAATGTCGAAGGCGGCGGTGACGTTGGTGGAGTCCAAGGCGGAGGTCTCAATGAAGAAGAGGCCAAGTTCTTCTGCAAGGGACTTGCCCTCTTCCATGCTCACCTCTCTCATCTCCCCCAAATCGCACTTGTTCCCTACCAGAATCTTCACTGTTGTTGTGTTATCACAATGGTCTGCATGCATTATTATTTTCTATCAATCTCATCATATTAGACAGAAAAATAATAATAATCCCTGTTAGTTTTATCTCAAATTTTGTACCGCAATTTACACAAACGCAGACAATCATTATCTGTGCACATACCGAAAGTGATTCTGTGCGTCTCTGACACAATAATGTGCAAGTTGGGGTACAAATAGTTGCAAGTTTGAAAAAAAGTTTTACTCTAAAGTTAGGTGAGAGTGTTTGAATGCGTAACTGACAACAAATTAAAGCTCTGATACCTAGTCAAAAAAACTTAAAATTGTAGTCGTAAGATCGGAAAATGTTTTATGGTGTAACATTCTTGACCGTTAAGGCAACAAGGCGCGGATACCTCAACAAAAAAACACTCATACTTGTAGAGTTGTAGAGTAGGAAAATGTTTTAAAGTGTAACAATTGATGTTATAAGGTATTACAGTATTTATTTGTTCATAAGATAATTTCACATGAATGATCAAGTATCTCAAGTGTGTTTTTTTGCAACTTTTTGTATAGAGTGACCACCTTCATGACTATGGGAGTTTGGGTGTGAAGGTTATAAAATCAAGATTCCATAAATTAAGCTCCTATTTCCCTTTATATTTCAATCACATAAATAAGTCTTTATTTCACACTGTTTTTTATCACTTATTATTTTATAAAAAATGTAATAAATTTTTAAATTTAATTTTTATTTTCATTTTTGTACCAATTTTTAAATAAAATGATTTCAAAAAAGAGAGAAATTTGGTTTGAAATTCCCAACTTATAATCCAAATTAGGAGGGAGAGAATGTATAACAACAATGTTTAATTTTAATATTTTTAAAATTAATCTGTATCATTAAAAAAGTATCCAATATTTTATCTTAAATTAAAGACCTGTTCCAATGTTTAAAAAAAAGACCATGTTCCAAGGCCAAAATGTTCATTTTATTTTCCTCATTAAATATCTTCACCCAACTTTTATCTAAAGGTAATTTCGGAAGTCAAATAGCAAAAAAAAAAAAAAAAAAAACTTGAGTGAGCCACTAAACATCACTTTTTTATGGAATTCAAACTCTCTTTACAGTAATTAAAGGCGAAAAAAGAGAAAGAAATTACGACTTACTGTTGAGTTCTTGAATCCAGCTTCTGGCGCTCTCGAAAGTGGGCCCCCGAGTGACGTCATACACAATGAGAGCTCCGGCGGCCCCTCTATAGTACGCGGAGGTGACGGACCGGAACCGCTCCTGGCCGGCGGTGTCCCACAGCTGGACCTTCACCGCCTTGCCGCCGTCCACCTCCACCGTCTGCGTCTGGAACTCCACCCCGATGGTGGCCTTCGAGTTCGCGTCGAACTCGTCTCTGGCGAACCGCAACAGCAGATTCGACTTCCCGACGGCGGAATCTCCGATCACCACCACCTTGAATAAATACTCTTCTCCTTCGCCTTCTTCTCCCATTTCTATTTATAATTCCCTGCCAGAAAAATTGTTCTTTTAAATTATGTTTTTCTGTTTGGGAATGGAGAAGAGATTGGAAGGGGGGCTTTAAGGGTGTTTACGGAGGAGACAAGTCAGAGTGCGGAGATGCGTGATTGTCGCATTGATGTAAGGCCCACTTATTATTAGGGAGCATCTTTATTTGAGATCTAACAGGCCCATTTCCTATATTTTTCTCTATTTGGGTCCATTTGGGCTGATCCATGGCCTTGTAGCTTTTGTGATTATACATAGTAATGGTCACAAAATAATTTTATTCTTTTTTGTACCAATGGACGCTCCAAGGCCCAAAATTAGCCTCCGGAAGGAGAAAGAGTCTGGGGCCTGCTGCTATGGACGCCAGCGCAATAGAAGCGGTAATCCATATATAAGCTTTTGAATTGAATTAAATAATCGATTGAACGCAATCTTTTAATGTGATTCAGCTCAAATGTCTTTTGACCCAATTCAATGATCTTTTTCTCATCTTAAATTTTATCATACCCCGTGTAATTTGAAATATATATTGAAATATATAATTTATATTTTTTATTTTTAAACCAAATTTTAAATAAAATTATTTTAAAAGAGTAGGAAAGCCTTTTTAGTCTTATGGAGTACGGAGTATTTGACTAGGGAAAGTACGAAACCACTACTGGTGTAAAAGATTAAAAAAGGAAAAAATTGAATCATTTTAATTTAAGAAAATGATTAAAGTGACGATTGTTCCACCAAAGAGTCCAATACTGAGAATTGATTCCGTAAAACGGAAGAAAATTTAAATTTACAGCTCATATTTATTACCTTTGGCGAATGATACATTGAAAAAATCTTGTGCAAATTTATGATCTAAACTTAATTAAATTGGAATTATTGTCCTTCAAAAAAAAATTGGAATTATTGTATTGTTGAGTCTTGCGTTGAACTAATATATATTTATATTGAAGATAGTTAGATAGTAAAAAATGAAACCAGTATACTCGTAAAAAATAATTTACTGTTACATAATTTTTTTCTTCTTTATTTTTTCACGGTTTCTAATGCACCGCTTTGGTTAGTAATACCACTTGTTAAATACATCAGATATTTTAAAGCATTATTTCAAAATGAATTAATTGATATCAAATCTATATCATAAGTAAATATTTTTTTTACATATTCTATAGTCAAAGTAGAGAAGTAAATGAAAATAGAGAAGTAAATATTCCCTCGTATATAACCAACCTTTTCATTTATTATTTACAATGTAAAACTATTTTTTTTTATCTTTTTTTTTATTTTCATTATTTATTTGATAAAATAAAATGTCATTTAATATTTATCTCATAGACTTTTTGAAGTAAGTTTCAACTATTAAATTTTATTAATAATTTCAACTCATATTTATATAAATTTAGTTGAAAATAATTTCATCAAATATCCTAATCTAAAATAGGAAATTTTCCTACTCTTTACATTCTAAAATCATTTGCATTTTTACTATTTGAATCTCCTGGTAACCTTTGTTTACTCGTGTATTTTCATTGATCATTTGATAAAATAAAATATTTTTCTTGTGTCTTATTTTATAGAATTTTTTATATATATTTTAAATATGTTATTTGTACTTTTTATTTTAGAACCAATTTATAGATAAAATTACTTTAAAAAAATACTCATATGAGATTTTAGATGTTGTTCAAACAATTAAATGAACTTGTGACATAGAATATTATCTCTTCGGATCATGCTATATTATTACTAGTCTTTTGACGAGACGTAGGGGTTGGCATTTTTATTCAAGTGGTGGAGTGTTGTTTGGTACAGGGGATCCGCACCCACAATAAATACCCACAAATAACTACGTAATTAAATCCCCNCCCAAAAGTTAGCGTTTCCCCTTGCTGAAAACCCTTTCCTCCCTTTGTCAATTTCCCCATTTTTTTTAAAAAAAAAATTCATTTTCGATAATAATAATAAATTAAGAAGACAGAGGATGACAGGGGAAGGAAGCGTCAGCCTGGAGCTTCTCAAGAAAAAGATGGACGATTTTGCCAAGGAGAGAGGCTGGGAGAAGTTCCACAGTCCCAGAAACCTTCTTCTTGCTATGGTATATTTTTTCTATTTTTTCGATTTTGCTTTTATTAGTTTTTTCTTTCATGATTCAGAACAATTACATGGACTTGTTGTCTCTGATCCGTTCTTCTTCTTCTTCAGAAAAAAGATTTCTTGAAAAAGTTTAAATTTTTCCCCCCAAATCATAAATCTTTTGCCTGTTTTGGTTTCCAGGTTACAAATATAAATACACCCTTCACTCCAAATCGTTGCTTTGATTCTGATTAAAACATTTTTTTTTTATAATTTTGTTTGTAGAACCTGCGAATATATTAATTCTGATTCTTTATTGGAAGAAGAGAATATTTTATTTGAGGATGCAAATTAGTTATGATTTCAACTTGTATTAATTTACATAGGATTATTTTTTTCAGTATGCCAAGTTTACACACTCTCTTCATATCTTACTATCAATTGGATTGTTGTTGTCCTTGTTGTGCCAAGTTCAATTCTTTTACTTAGGGTTCATTTGGAAAGAGCCTCAACACTAAATTTGAAAATGCTATCTAACGGGAGCGTTTGTTTCAGCGCTCTCAAAATCAATTTACACAATCGAAACTCTATCCAAAATGCAAATTGAAAATGTTATTCCCAAACAATGTCTTCTACCGCGAATACAAAATAAGGAAGACCCGTTTTTCGGGACGGATTTTGAACGGGCGGTCAATAACGAATGACCATGAATGGTGTGACAGGTGGGAGAAGTGGGAGAGCTATCAGAGATATTCCAATGGAAGGGGGAGGTGGGGAAGGGGTTGCCAGGTTGGGAAGAAGAAGAAAGGGTACACTTGGGAGAGGAGCTCTCAGATGTGTTGCTATACTTGGTCAGGCTCTCTGATATGTGTGGCATTGATCTTGGCAAAGCTGCACTCAGAAAGATTGAGCTCAATGCCCTGAAATACCCTGCCAAAGGGAACCAAAACAGTAGTCCTTGCCTTGAAAATGATGCTCCCACCAAAGAAAATGGGGTGGTCAATGATTAGAGAGTAATTTGGTTGGCACCAAATTGTTGTCAATTAATCATCTTCATTGGTTTATGATTAAAATAATGAAAGTGAAATAATTATGCACTTTTGGCTCCATGATGTTAATGTAGTCCCAATTTGTCAAAAAAGCCCATTTGTTTACTACTTTTATTCAGATTATTACTTTTGAGGTGATGAGAATTTAAATAAGTATTGGCATGATGCATGTCAATATAATCTATTTCCTTTTTTCTTTAAAGCCCTGTTATTTTGGGTTATAATTTCAGAGTTTTATTTAGAAGAAATAGGATCGAGTTGAATAAAAAAATGTTAGAAAATTCTAATTTTGGATAAAAAAGAATTAATTCTTGTTGTTTTTGAGGTTATATGTTACTCCCTCCGTCCCATTTTAAATTGTCTGTTTTGACTTTTGGGCATATTTAAGGAAAAGAAAAAATAGAGTTGATTTTTCAAAATTGTCAGTACTTTTTTAGGAAGGATAACGATGATTGAGAAGATAAGGTGGAGAAGAATGACTTATTTTAGAAGTAGTTTAGTTATTTTACTCTTAAAAGTTTACGAAAACAACTAACAGACAACTTATTTTGGGACGGAGAAAAAGGGCAAACCGACAATTTAAAATGAGACGGAGGTAGTATAAATTTGGATATATAATGGTATTATATATTAATCATGTATAAATAGTTTTTTTAAATCATTGGAAAAATTAGACTGAGTCAAAAGAAATTCGAAGAAACTAGAAAAAAGTTGAAAGTTAATTTTTCTAACTCGAAAGAGCAGGGCCTTAGAGCGACTATTAATTTGTAAGATTTTTTTAGTAGACTAACACATAAAGAAACGAAGATATTCCACATTTGCATTGAATTTTTTTTTTAATAATTAAAAAAGTTATAATAGTCGATAACAAATTAATAAAATGAGTAATGATTTACTCCATATGGTCCAAATTCAACTTCCACATTTTATTTTTTTGAAAATAAAAAAAACAGTTTTTAAAAAGAAAAAATTGTGTTTAATATTTGATACTCCATACGTTTCTATTTTGATTACAATTTTTATTTCTCTATTCGATAAGTTTTGTTTATTTGAGTGTTTTCGTTGATTATTAGATAAAATAAAATATTTTTGTTACTTCTTGTTTTGTAAAACTTTTGACGTAGTTTTTAATATGTAATTTTTATTTTATATCGATATACTAATTTGTAAATAAAATACTTTTAAAAGATATGAAATTTTGTCTCGTAAATCTTAATTTGAAATCAAATTTGGGACGAAGGAGCATATTCTCTTCGTCTCCAAATCAACTTTATATATATAAAAAAACTTTATATTTTTATTTTATCAATTTATTTTACTTCTTTCATTTCTTTATGTGCTTGCGAACGTCCACTCACGGACTTGGGCCCAACTGCAATATCCATTACCTATCCTGCTTTGTACGGCCCATCGATTCAACCTGACCCAAACTCAATCTGTATTGGGTTGGATTGGGTCCGTGATCTCAATCACGCATAAGGCCAGGCCTGATGAAGGTCGGGGCGGGTGACGGCTTGTGCCTCCGAAGTTTAAGTGGTCTCAAATATTTTAGGCATAGTATTATGAGTAGCCTAAAAATAAGTTTTTAAGCGAAAAAAAATATTTTTTACACATAGCTCTTCATATTTGAAAAATATAAAACTTTTGTACAAATTATTACTAATACTATATTCACACATTTAAATGACATGTTACCGATAGAATCCTCAACTCTATCACTTAAGATAGTTTAATCTTTTTCATTTATATTTATTCTTCATATAAAAATATTTAATGTTATATAAATATTATATTTCAATTTGTAATAAAAAGTTTATTCAACAGTAACTTTTAGTTGGTAAATCTTGGAAAGACCTATTTTTTCTTCGTCCCCAGCCTAAGAAATCTTAGGAGCAGCCAGGCCGTACGATGTAGTGTTCAGCATCTCCGAAGGCCCTCAGACCCGGTCGGACGGTCACTGAGAAGAGATAATTATATCTTATATTTGCTTTTTCAGTAGTCGCAGGATTGCGAAGATTTTTGTTTGTTTCTACGTTTTCATTGGTTATTTGATAAAATAAAATATTTTTGACATCTCTTATTTTGAAAAACTTTTTATGTAATTTTTGATATGTAAATTTATTTTTTTATTTCTATACTAATATTTAAATTAAATAAATTGAAAAAATTTAATATTTTACTTCGATAATAGAAATGTGAGATATATTTAGAGACGAAGAGAGTAAACAAACTCAATTTGAAATGAAGAACAGTAATCAAGAGAGATAAGCAGAGCCTTTAAATTTGAAGGCAACCTTTTCACAAGTCCCAAACCCAAACCATCATGACCGTGGCGGTAAAAAGATCACTCCGTAAAAAGTACAATTATGCAGTGCAGAAAAATCTTGCTTCTTGGGAGTCTTGGGATGAGGGGAGGGATAAACAGAGAGTTAGGTCTCGATTAATAACAGAGAGTTGGGTCAGTGTTTTTGAAAAAAAAGAATTACATAAAACAGCATATGGTAACTTTTTTAAAATTAAATTATACTCCCTCCGTCCCGGAGTATTCGTCCAGTTTTGACTTTTGGAACTATTCATCTAAGCACTTTGATTCATCAAATTCTTTCAATGTGTAAGCCTAAATATAGTCATGTGTGATCTTGTTTGATTTGAATTAACATATAGATTATTAATATATAATTTCTATAATTTTTTAACATACAAATTACAAGATAAAATGAATTAAAAAAGTGTATTGGATGGTGTGTAAAAATGAAACTGGACAAATACTCTGGGACGGAGGTAGTATTATTATGATTTTATCTAAAATAATACTCGTACACTACTCCTTCAATTCTTAAAAAAAATGCCTCTTTTAATGTTTAAAACACCATGAATTAAAAAATGATTTTATTTATATGTTAATAGAGAATTAAAAAATAAAAATTATATTTAAAAGAATACATAAAAAATTCTACAAAATAAAATATAATAAAAATATTTTATTTTATCAAAAACAAATAAAAACATGCAAACAAATTAAAATCAATATAAGGCCATAAAAATAGAGATTTACTCCCACTGTTCCTATTTTAATTATAATTTACTTTTTTTACCTCTCTATAACTTTTATTTATTTTTGATTGGTTATTAAATAAAATAAAATATTTTTCCCACCAATTATTTTGTAAAATTTTAAATATAATTTTTTAATATGTACGGAGTAATTTTTATTTTCATATATCAATTTATAAATAAAATAATTTTAAAATCATAATTTTCATTTTGTAATCAAACTATAGACACATGGAGAATCATTTTGAGACCATTTTGAGATTTGAGTAAAAAAATACAGTAACGTTTTCAAACAAGAATTAGGGTGTGTTTGGGAAATGGGAATAGAGTTAGCGTTAGAATTTTAGATAAAATTTTAATGGTATACATTATTTTGAAAGCGTTAACGGTAAACGTTGCATGTAGATAACATTTTCAAAATGCTAACGCTAATCGCAAACCAAATAGGCCCTTATTAATGAATGCCAAAGAGTATGAAAATGTCCATTAAAGCAAAGCATTCAAATCTCACACTGCCCAAACAGGGTTTCCATATACATCCCCATCAGGAGAAAGATAACACAAATTAATTACTTTCCTCCTCGACGAAAGAAACGTATCATAGAGAGAGATCTCAAACGCTTTACGAGGAACCAGCAAATTTACTTTCAGCGGCGTGAAAGTGGGCACTCAAGTGGTCGCACCCGCACAGTGAATACTACATTAATACTCTCTCGCCACCATAGATCTTACCAGTTACTTTTCATGTAATTTATTACTATAAGAATTTTATTTTAAAATTTTACTTCTATAATCAATTAAATTAAAATGAAAATAAAGTCAGTCAAACCTCGTAACTCGAAATAGGAAAATCTTAGATTAAACATAAAACGAAAAAATAAATAATGCCACAAATTCAAAAGCTAGAATTGCGATTATGAGCGATGAATCACCGAGGACTCAAATGTTACTAGTCAAAATTACCAAAAGCAAACAGTACTGACAGATTCATATTCAAGTCTGATAACAGAGACAACTACTCCTCCGTAATAAGAACTAACCACTATTGGGTTATACGGTGTGCCGAAGTACACACTACTACCATGGGCCGGATAGGAAATTCATTAAAAAAAAAGCAGAGAAACGAGACAGTTCAGTTCCGAGACCTTTCAAGCCTCCACCGCCTGCTCAGTCTTCTTCGCCGGCGAGCAGATGAACCAGAAGTTCCCATATGGATCCTTCACCTTGCCAACGCGACCACCACAGCAAGCGGCTTCACCCTCAGAGATTTCACCTTCAGCAACCGCGCCGGCAGCAACAGCATTGGCAATAGCTTTATCAACGTCCTCAGTCTCCAGGGAGAAAACTCCGACGGCCTTTTCACTGAGAAAAAAGCACAAACCATGTTTCGGTCACTTCATGGAGATTGCAGTTTTATATAACGAAGAACAGCACAGATATCATGACATGTATGAAGAACAGAGCAAAAAAACAGATCCAAAACGCATCTCACGTTTCACTCACAAGGCCTTCAGGGATATTGTGTGCACAGAGATGCTATTACCCAAAATAAGTGCTTAAAACAGATATTCAAGTACACATAAACTGGATTTGGAATCAATCTGGTGAAGTATTCAGATGAAACAACGAAAAATCAGGTTAAAATGTGTAAGGTGAATAATAAACAGCGTGCGTGACGACAGATTATTGAAATAATTTATCAAATACCAGTGAATCGACTTTTAAACACTCAGATCTATAAATTTCAGAAGAAATATGAGAGAATAAACGCAAAATTTCTCAAAAATAACACGAAATTTTAAAACTCACGGAGCAGAAGAGTCCTCAGTAAGGTCAGACACAAGGAACACAGAGGAACCGAGCTTAAGCTCGGCAAAGAGAACGAGAGGAGCTTCCTGATCAGCCTTCCTCTTCGTGTTCATGACACGGCTGACCTCCTCGGCACCAAACGCGGCCTTGTAGAACTGAACGGCGTCGTTTGCCTTGGCACCTTCCACAAAGAGCTGTGGTTTGAGAGCGGAGAACGTCACAGCCTTCGCAGCTCCGTTCTCAGCACCGCCGTTCTGAGCTTCGTTCGCCATTTCTCTCTCACAAGCTGCCGAAAAAACGAAAACAGAGAAAGGAAACGGAGAAGAAAGTTTGGAAATGGCAGAAAATGGCTTGAGAAAGGGATAAAGGCACGACGAAATGGGGTAACAAACGGGGGTACTTATAGGAAGAGACGGAGCGAACCGTTTGAGCTATTCGGGGATAAAGTGGGGATTTGCGGATATGTTTATCCACGAAATCGCCCTCGTTTTCGGTACTTATTTGCAACATTGCCACTCGGGTAGGGCTTTTTAGGGGTACTGTGGGTATTTCACCGCCGGTTTCAATAAATCGTTCGCGTCCTCTTTTTGTCTTTTCACAAACCTACTCTAAGGAGAGGGAGACACGTGTCGTTAATGCTACTCATACGTGACGGGATAGAATCGGCGTGAGCGGAAATTTTGTTGGGAAATGTAAGGGCACCTTCACCGGCTTAAGCATTTATTGGAATGACGAACGTGTCCTCATTGTCCAATTTTTTTAGTGGATTGACAAAGATGTGATCGTGTTTATTATGGGCTTGAGAGGCCCAAATGATTTGCAGGCTTGGGCCATGTAAAAAATAAAAATATCTTTTGTAGGAGGATTAGAAAAGTACCAAATTTTCAAGGTCATTTCTTGCCCAAATGTATCACCAAGACACCAACACTAGAGTTTTGTTTAGTTAGAGGGAGGAAGTGATAAAGGAAGGGAAAAATAGGAAATAAAATTATTTTTAATTTTCATAGGTATGTTTTACATTAACAGATTAGTGAGAAATATATATAATACAAAAGATTGTTTGACAAATCACAGATATATTTGGTTGCCCTAGCCTCAATAATAAATGAATAACTACAATGAGTTGCCATACATATATTTGGGGAACCAGAAAAAGCTTAAAGAATTGGAAATAAATGTGAAAAATAAGGAGTTGTAATAAACTGAAATGAGTTGGAAATGACGGGAAGAAACTTGGAAAAACTAAGGGTCCGTTTGGTATACGGAATTGACGGAATTGGAATTGAATTGGAATTGAGATTCCATGGGATTCAATTCCATAGAATTGAATTCTGTCAATTTCAATTCATTTTTTACACTATCAATTCCAAATCCACATAATTTTTGTGCTACCAAACACCAGAATTGGAATTGAAGTTCTCAATTCCAATTCCATAGTTTGAATTCCATGTACCAAACGGGGCCTAAAGATAATTTAAAAAATTGAAAAAAATTAGAAGTTAAGGATTTATGCCGAAAAAACATGCTCTTAACAACTATTCTTTTAAAATGCAAAGGCTCCTAATCCATTATTATAAATACCCAAACCAATACATTATTTTAAATCAATCAAGCCTATCTAAAATCTCTTCACTCTTTTTGTTTAGTGGTCAAATTATTTTTTCTTTTTGATAGCAAAGGAATAAAATCATTAAATCAAAAGCAATAGAGTTTACAAGAGACTCAGGTGAATGATATATCATTACACGGGATCAGACTTAGAATCAGTTTTCCTAATCATAAGGTGGTCAACATGGTTCACAAGTCTCTTGACAAAATTAAAGCTCAGACTACAAGAAAATGACCCAATCAACAACTCAAAGCCCAACTAGAAAACAAGTCCAAGGTCGTACCAAATGACAGCACTCTCCCCACTCCTATTGGCCCATGCATTCGGCCACACATATCGGCCCCTGCACTCGACTGCACCTATTGACTTAGTTATCGTCCTCAGCCCTCGGCAAAACAATCGCCAGTCTAGTGACTTCAGCAATCGGGGCTCTCTACTTAATGTCCAATCCATTGGGCCAACATAGGCAAACATACCCCTACATAATGTATATGTATAGTGCACGTACCAGTATAATACAAGCAAGTCTATAGACAGTATATCTCCAGTACTTTCATACTAAGCCCCCGAGCCACTGTTAAAACAACTATATGAAAATTATGTAAAAAATTATGTAAGTTATACAACTAGTGTATAAATATTCTTGGAACTAGGGTACAAATTATGTAGCAACTAGTGTACAAATTATGTAGCAATAATGCAAATGAATATTATCATTCCATCGCATTAGCTTGTTCTTAGGTCTTCTTTGTCTAGTTTACTCTAGAGTCTAGACTCTAGTTTCTAACAACCTATCAATCGCATTTCGATAAGTTTTGTTTATTTGTATATTTTTACTGGTCATTTTATAAAATTAATTTGTTTATCACATCTTATTTCATAAAAATTCTAATATAATTTTGAAATATTTAATTTGTACTTTCCATTCTTAGATTCTCTTTGTCCAGATTTAATCTTCTAATTAGATTTTTCTTGGTCAAAGTTTTTAAAATTTTAATTTCAATCTACGAAAAAATATATTGCATTTCAATATAAATTAATATCAATAATTTTATCTTGAAATATAACTTAAAAATGTTAAATTTTTTATGAAATATATCCATATTTAAATATCAATATTAATGATTAGAGGAGTAGGACGGAGGGTGTGGAGCTCAAACGAAACTAAAAGCGATCTATATGTGACCGTTAACAAACACTGTAGAAAGTTATTAGTGGCCCCTGCCTTTTCGCAACTTCCATTCCATCAAAGTGAACGTTGATCATTGATGATGATGATAGATGATCGAGTTTAATTAACCAAAGAAGGAATTTCTTTAGATTTGCGTTTTAAAAAACTGAATCCCCATTTATATCGGGTTTAAACTTTAAAGCAGAGAGGGGCAAAGCGGTCCCACTCCACAGCAACATCTTTCACGCGGCCAGCTCTTCTCCGTCCCCAGTGTGTGTGTGTACGCCAGTCACCCTCGCCTGTTTCCGGCCAGAGAAGAGAGGGTTAGCGAAACCTAACCGGTTCATTCTCAGTTCGTTATCCGCCATTAAAATCGAGATTGGATCGAGAGAGAGAGAGAGAGGCGGAAATGGCAGGCTATGTGGGAGTGCTGGTGTCGGATCCATGGCTGCAGAACCAGTTCACGCAAGTGGAGCTTCGGAGTTTGAAATCCAGTGTAAGTTCTTCTTAATCTATGACGATTTGCTTTCCGTGTTGAGTTTTGTGTCCGGATTCTGAGGATTGCGCGTGGTTCGTGCAGTTCGTCGAGATCAGGAGGGAATGCGGGAGCCTGACGGTGGCAGACTTGCCGGAAAAAATGTCGAGGCTGAGGAACGTCGGAGAGAGCCTTACTGAACAGGAAAGAGACGCGTTCATCAGAGATTCGTATCCGAACATGGAAGACGATGTTGATTTTGAACTTTTTCTTCGGGTAAGTGCACATCCATTTTCAATGCTGTTTCGTCACTTGTCTGAGCTATACACATACCCAGTATTTTACTCATTTTACTTTAGAATCCTTAGAAACTTAATTTCTTAGCTGGTTGAGAAAACTTGAACGATAAGATTCCTAAAAAAAGCTATATGGCTGGTTGAGAAAATTTGAACGATAAGATTCCTAGCTAGTCTCAATTTTCAAATTGAATTACTGTGTCAAGGGAACCCCAGTGTTGTGTGGCCTTTATTGAACAGTGAAAGGTACCAAGCGAACCAATTTGAAAGACGAGCAAAAGATTACTAGGTTCCGTTTGTTTCCTCAGAAATATAGCTGCTAAATATCATCTGGATTTTCCAATATAGGACAAAACTTATCTAAAAGCAAATATAATTATTTTCCATAATTATACATTTATACATATATTAATGGAAAATGGCTCGTTCTTTGAATATCAAGACATTTGGGTTCTTTTGAAATCCAACCCAAATGTCAAGACACCGGGTCCATTTGTGCTTTGTTTGACCCCGGATTGGTTCTTACCCCTAACCCCCAAAAATTCCCGAGCCCGCCAACCCCTACCCCCATTTGTCACCCAAATCTGGGCGGGTTAGGGGCTTGAGCGGAGGGGCATGGGCGGGCTAGGGGATGAGTAGGTAGAAACCACATTGGGGTTGAACGGAACACCATACAAATGGAGCCGCCTCTTATTAAGATCCTATGTTTCTTCTGTCAAAAGAACCCGCCTCTTATCATGCTCTATTTGTGATAGATATATTTGAAACTCCAAGCACATGCTACAGCTCGAGTGGGAAGTAATGCAAAAAACTCATCTGCATTTCTAACGTCTCCCACTTCTACTCTGCTCCACACAATTAGTGAATCTGAGAAGGCATCATATGTAGCACACATCAACAATTACCTTGCTGAAGATAAATTCTTTAAAAAGTGCCTCCCGATAGACCCTTCAACAAATGATCTTTTTGAGATTGCAAAGGATGGAGTTCTTATATGGTGATCATTAATCATAACCCTTTGTACTTCACCTTAGTGAATATTGAATTTTATCGTCCAATATAATTAGCTTCCCTATTTTTTTTCTAATGCAGCAAACTTATCAATGTGGCTGTGCCTGGGACTATTGATGAAAGGGCAATAAATATGAAGAAAACACTCAACCCCTGGGAAAGAAATGAGAATCATACACTAGGCCTCAATTCAGCTAAGGCAATTGGATGCACTTTGGTCAATATTGGAAATCAAGATTTCATTGAAGGCAGGGTATGCATATTCCATTTCTCAACTATTGTTTTTACTGTACATAAAGCAAAAATGCATGTTTGTATCTGTTGTGCTTATAAACATGCTAACGGTCCATGCTTATGTCATGACTCATAATATGATGCCATCATGGTAATCTCATGTTATAGTATATGTGTGCTATTAGTTTTGACTATTTATAATTACTTTGGTTCGTTTTCAGAGGCATCTTGTTCTAGGAGTGATATCCCAAATCATTAAGGTAATACTACTTTAATAGACACTCGTATTTGATACTTCGATTGGTTCCATTTTCCTATTTTTTTTTACTCTAGTGCAAGCATCGTTTTTCCACAACGAAATAGGCACTTCAGCACCTTACACAATACTCCGTATTAGTGTAGCTGCATCACCAGCTTCCTTTTCCCTTCATGAATATGGTTAATCAATATGGTTTTGGATGTAAGATTAATGGTTTAGAATATGGCACCGACCATAACTTTTTGACTATGCCAACACATATTTTCTTTGCTTGAGCTGGTGATGTTTCTGAAACATCCTCTCTACCCTTTTAAGGTAGGGGTAAGGTTTGTGTACACCCACCTCCCTGGACGCCACTTGTGGGATTTTATTGGGTATGTTGTTATTATATAAGCATGAAGTCCAGGGGTATGACTCTATGACATTCAAATGTTTTTAGCAACTGAGAAGTTTTTTGTTTTCTTATTTGTGAAATTGTAGATTCAACTATTGGCAGACCTCAATTTAAGGAAAACACCTCAGTTAGTGGAGCTTGTTGATGATACTAAGGTGAGAAGGCACTGATGGTTTCAGTTTAGCAAGACTTAGTGCATCAATACTCATCCATAATATGTTACTATGTTTGCCTTTGCGAATTGCAATATCAGGATATAGAAGAGCTGATGAGCCTACCCCCTGAAAAGCTCTTGCTGAGATGGATGAACTTTCAATTGAAAAAGACCAAATACAACAAAACAGTGACAAATTTCTCTATTGACATAAAGGTAGAAGGAATCAGCTGCATTCTAGTATTTCAATATGCTCTGGGTGCACTTTATTGTATTATAATTCATACCGTCTATTTTATTTTATTTTATTTCCATGAGTTGTTTTTCCCCAATTCTACAATTTGCCTAAAAGGCAAAAGGACAGAATAATTTTGGCATGGCTGTAGTAAGTTAACCAGTTTGCCTTTACACATGTACATTTCCAAGCCATCTATGTTAGTTTCATACAAAATAGCCTTTTAAGTCACTTACGTGCCCTTAAGATTTTAATGAGGAGAAACAATAACAATCGTGACAGTTTACCTTTCTGTAGGATGCAGTGGCTTATGCTCATCTCTTAAATGTTCTAGCCCCAGAGCACAAAAATCCAGCTACACTAACTGCGGAAGATGCTATGCAAAGAGCTAAGTTGGTTCTTGAACATGCAGATAGGATGGGTTGCAAAAGATACTTAACAGCAAAAGATATTGTGGAAGGTTATCCTAATCTTAACCTTGCATTTGTGGCGCATATATTCCAGCATAGGTGAGTTGATATCTATTTTTTAAAAAATTATTTAAAGGCTTAAGTTCTGTTAGGATCAGCTTTTATCCTTACATCTTGCATGTGTATTCATTTTAGTTTCACTATAGTCATACTTGCATATTAACACATATAAGCTTTAAAAACTTGTCTCATACTCTTAGGAAATTCTGTTTTTGTACCTATGTCAGTGCTTCATAGATTCCAAGATACTTCCACATGCACACAAATACAAACAAGAACCACACCTTCAAGAGATCAAACAAGGAATTCGATTTTGTGCTTCATATCTTGAAATAGATTTACTATCAACTTGTTGAAATACGGAGTACTAATTTGTTATACACAAGCACCCGAGGGTAGGAGTTTCCGAATTGTATTTAGTGAGTGACACAAAAACTTGTTAATAAACTAATGTGTTGAGCACCATCTCCAAAGGGTTGAGATTTCCATTTTGTGTTTAGCTAGTGACATGAAAACAGCTGTCCAATGGGCTTCCCTATGAATGTTTTGTAACTTTTGTTTTGAGTGGTTAGTCTTTTTTTTTTTCATATTTAAGTTCTCACCTGGCTTAAATTTGATGATGAAGACTTCATTTTAATTCTTAGGAATGGGCTTTCAACACAACCAAAGCAGATTTCTTTTCTTGAAACTAGTCCAGACGATGCTCAGATGTCCAGAGAAGAGAGAGCATTTCGTTTTTGGATTAATAGTCTTGGGAACTCTTCATACATAGATAATGTTTTTGAAGATCTTAGAAACGGGTAAGTGCAATCCTGCCACTGGGGCATTCTTGTAAACATTTGACCCAGTTCTTCTAATGGAATGAACAATACTATCAGAGTAGTAGTAATAAACATTTGGATTTATCCTTTATAAAGTTCTTTCCAACATGTGCTCTGTTGTTAATAAACTTCTACCTTGTTGCAGATGGTTGCTTCTAGAAACACTTGACAAGGTGTCCCCTGGAATTGTTAACTGGAAAATTGCATCTAAGCCTCCAATTAAGTTGCCTTTTAGGAAAGTAGAAAATTGTAACCAGGTTGTCATGATTGGGAAACAACTGAAGTTTTCTCTCGTTAATATAGCTGGTAATGACATTGTGCAAGGAAATAAGAAGCTGATATTAGGTATGGTTACAGGTGCAATAATCTAATATAAATTGTTCTGATCAAAAGAATTGTTTTTATTGTCTCACTCAATTGGACAAGCTAAACTGACTCAAATTGTCAATGGACATCCCTTTTCTGTCTCCAGCTTACTTGTGGCAGTTGATGCGATTCAATATGCTTCAACTCTTGAAGAACTTGAGATTTCACTCTCATGGAAAGGAAATCACTGATGCGGATATCCTAGAGTGGGCGAACAGCAACGTCAGAAAATCTGGCGGCCAGAGTTGCATGGCCAGCTTCAAGGTAAACCATGTCGTAACAAATTTCCCCGTGTCAAAATTCAATCTGTTGGTTTTGAAAAACAATGTACTCTCGTAGTTTGTCTGAAACACAAGTACAATGTTTACGGATTCATTTGATAAGTGCCGTTCAGGTGAAATGGCTAAATGTACCCTTTGAAAGGAAAATCATATGCTGTCCTAATATGTATGACACCAAGGCTTGGTGTAACCAGACCCTGTTGAATACATGTATAAAATATTAAACAGTAAGAGAAGAAATGAAAAAGTGAGAAAAGTAGGGGATGAGAGATGAAAAAAATTGAGCAGTGATGTCATCTGGCGAGATCATATTTACAAAAAAGAAAGACAGTAGAACAAGTAGTTACAGAATATTCGTTCAAAACTTAAAAGAAAAGTACATCAATCTTGTTAATACGGTGGATCACTCTAATAACCTTCACACAAGAGACTGAATGAGGCATAATTTTCAGGACAAGAGTTTGTCTGATGGGGTCTTTTTCCTTGAGCTTCTCAGTGCTGTATACCCTCGAGCGGTCAACTGGAGTCTGGTTACAAAAGGAGAAAAAGGTATGCATCTCTTTCAAGCTAGAATGCCATGTTCTTCTTTGATTATTAACCTAATTATTTTTAGCAATCACCCTATTTTTTACGGATTGGTCCTCATTAAGGGAAGAAGCTGCATGTGCATATACCAATATAATCCACTTTTCGTCTTCTCGTATCTTCGATTAGTGATCATAACCAAAACCTACTGAAACCAATCCAACCAATAACCATAGACGGTTCAGTTTCAGTTTTATGTTTATGCATTTAAAAGTGACCAAAAATAACCACAGTTTCCTCAGACTTTGAGCTAGATTGTTTTGTTTTTGTATGTCTTAAACCGAATTGATACAAGGCCTCGTCAAGGACTTAAAATAAAATTTATCCAAATGAGATTTAGTGAAGAAGGTAAATTGACCAAATCAAAATTCGAGGATGAAAGGTGGAATTTACTCTATGGAGAGTGCTGATATGAACATGGTTCTTTGATTTTACTGTCTCCATTATCTCCATCAATATGCTTGAGATGACTCATCATCTAATTAAGCTGCTCCAAACTGGTTTTCTCTTGCAGAGGAGGAGAAAAAGATGAATGCAACCTACATAATCAGTATTGCAAGGAAGCTTGGCTGTTCAATCTTTTTGCTACCTGAAGACATAATAGAGGCAATTCTTTCTTGTCGACTTGTCTTCCTACATCGTTTATATAATGAGTAAAAAATGTGAAATTGCTGCACATTATATAAAAAAACTCGCGATTCTATCTTAAATTATACATAGTAGTACAACAACAACAACAACATACCCAGTTTAGTCCCACACAGTGGGGGGTCTGGGGAAATTATACACAGTTGTAATATGTATAATTTGTTTTGTTTTGTTTTAAACAGGTAAACCAGAAGATGATCCTTACGCTGACAGCAAGTATAATGTACTGGCATTTGAAACAGCCCGCGGAAGATAGAATGAGTGTAACATCTTCAGACAGCGAGTCCGGTAGCCTTGTGGACACCATCTCCACCTTCACAATGGACGACACTGCTTCCGAGTATTCAACAGATTAGATCGCACCAAGGGCGCACTTGTTGTAGCAGATAGGTTAATTAAAATGCCCTCTGGTAAGCTCGTTTATTACCCGTTGAGCTTCAAATCTCAATCAATCATATATATATTATTCATGTTGTGCACTGATTCATTTGGCATGCTGAAAATGAGTCAGGTTTCATGTTGTATTAGTGCTTGGGATTTAGTTTGATGATGGAATGTGAACACTTGTGAATAGTAGAGAAGGGTTCGTTTGGCGAGAGAAGGCTTATATTTGACAGCCTCTCGTTTAGGGTGTTTAGATCCGATTCACAAGACGGTTTTGCTACTAAATTGAGCCTTTGAGAATCACTTCTCTGGGTTCAAAGAGTTAGTTTTGGAAGATTGTGTAGTACATTTGTTCTACTATTTTCTTTCATTTGGACTTAGACTTGTCTATTTGAGCCTTTTGTGGTTATTGTTAACACACTTGTTGATAAAACATAAATTTGATATTTGGTTGTTTTGTTTTTGTGATGTTTCTATACTCACTGGTTGTTTTTTGTTTGAGCTGTTAAATTTTATTGGCAAGGGAGAGTTACTTCGTGGAAAACAGATATGCTGCAATAACTACGCTCCAAAATGGAAAAGTTAGAAATCAATAATGAAGAGTTATTCTACCGTGATTCTAAAGTCTACATGCAAAATATGAATTTTCTCATTTTATATGTTAAGGTTTATAAAATGAACATGAAATTAAAAGATCACGAAAAATTTGCTTAAAGGGAGGAATAAATAGTGATCTTGAAGCTTCGGTACTTGGGGTGTGTTTCAAATGGTGTTATGTTGATAATAATATAACTCTCATAATGAACTTTTATACTTCTCTCATCGTAAAACTAACTTCCCGTTTTAGTTTAAGAAAGTTGACCGAACTTATTTTTAAATTTAACTTTTTTGATTATAATTGTAAAATTTAAAAATAAAGTTATATATTAAAAAATTACATCAAAAGTTTTACAAAACTAGAGGTGATATGATTATATTATTTTATCAAATAATAAAAGAAAATAAGAAGATAGTAAATAAAGTTTGACAATAAATCAAAAAGATAGTTTTAGAACGAATGAAATAATAACTAAGATAATGATTATTTAAGTTAGAGCAAAAGATCTTAACAAAATATGATATACTCCCTCAATTTTTTTTCTCTCTCATCTCGATAACTTTTGTTTGTTTATGCGATTTTTCATTAAGTATTTGATAAAATAAAATATTCTTGTCACCTCTTGTTTTGTAGAACTTTTGACGTAGTTTTTTAATATGTAATTTTTATATCTTATTGATATACCAATTTGTAAATAAAATGATTTCAAAAAGTAGGAAATTTTACTCCGTAACCCGCAATTTGTAATCAAATTAGGGACGGAGGTAGTATATAAGGAAAATGCTTGAAGAACCACACTTGAGATACACCAAATGTACTCCAAGACAAAAATAAGTATTTACAAACACTTAATATATGTGCACGCACATACATTAAATACCTGTGAATGCCTATTTTTGATACACTTGGTGTATGGCAAAGTGAGGTTTCCTTGGCACTTCCCTAAATATAATGATTATCTAATATAAAATTTAATGTTTATATTAGCAAGAGAAAAGATAGGGAACAAAAGTGAGACAAAAGTAATTTTCTGATCCTTTAATGATAGAATTTTAGTGATAAATATTGAACCTCTCTCCCCGAAATCTTTTGTTTGGAGGGAGTATAGCTGCACTTTGCGGATACACGAGAAAGACCGAAGAAATTCAAAAATTGAAGTGCTCAAAAAGAAAGAAGATGGAGAGATATAAAGAAAGAGCTCACGGGTGCAATAGTAATTCTATACTCCGTATAAAGAATGAATGATTGAATGAATGAATATATCAATCATTGATAACGAATGAGGAATTTGATCATCTTCAAAAGTTCGTTCCTAGCCACAGGTAGATCCCAGCACAGTACACAGACAGGAAATGGAAGCCACCACTCTCAAGCCCTTAACGAGTTCCATACTCAACAGACTCCATTTCTCTCGCCGGAATGACATTCTCCGGCCGTCATCCCTGCGAGGTGGACGCAAACACACCGCCGGCTCAATTTCGATTTCGGTGAAACGTAATCGTTTGAATGGATACGCGCCGCTCCGTGTTTCTGGATTGAGTTCGTCAGGATCCTTCGATGTGGTGGTAATTGGCAGCGGAATCATCGGTTTGTCCATCGCGCGCCAATTCCTTATTGGCTCGGATCTCTCCGTTGCCGTCATCGATGCTGCCGTGCCGTGCTCCGGCGCTACTGGTGCAGGTAATCTACACGCTGCTGGCGCTACTTGACATTACCAACCAGTAAGTTAATCTGCACTATCAATTACTAAACATGTCGTTCCAAAACCTACCCTAGAACTCTCAAGAGCTAGTTCTATAGCAACAAAGTAGCCCGTGGAAGTTACAGAGTTCAAAAACTTCGAAGCTTGTGTAATTAAAAAACAATTTCTCAATATTAGACCGCAACATAAACAGCTTCATGATTCATAGTATGCATTTCTGCTTTGTTTTTGTATTATGGCGATTGTACGATATTCTATTATTCTTACTTCATTTGTGGCACTTGACCTGGTTCTAGGGCAAGGCTATCTGTGGAAAGTCCACAAATCACCGGATAGTGATAAATGGGAACTGGCAACAAGAAGCCATCAACTCTGGGAGAATTTTGCCAAGAGCGTTGAATTTGAGGGAATGGATCCTTCCGAGATATTTGGGTGGAAGAAAACTGGTACTCTCATGTCTTGATATGTTTGACTGCTTTAGGCTTTTTGAATATAATCCCGTGTTTCACAAAACCAAGAGGTGTTCTCATCACTAGGAAGCTTGTTACTTGGTAGAACATCAGAGGAAGCCTCTATTCTAAGAAAGAAGGTGAAACAGTTAACGGATGCTGGTACAAGAGCCGAATTCTTGACAAGTAGCAATTTGCTCACTGAAGAGCCTGCGCTCATGCTTGACAAGGATGGTGGAGCAGCATATGCACCCGATGACTACCAGTTGGATGCTCGAAGTGCAGTGGCATTTATTGAGAAGGTGCATTTTATTCAATTCTCATCAAATATTTCCAAAAAGAGTTCTTTCATTTGTATAATTCATTCAGGTGATATTTTCAGCATATTAGACCATGTTACTTTGATATTATTCCTAACTTCAGCATCATTCCCCTCAAAACCATCAGGAGATAAATACCACTATTTAGGATCTTGTTTATTCCTCTTGTCTTAGTCAAATGCTTTTGCTATACTTTAGGATCTCTTTCATTTGCTTTTCCTTTGTAAATGGTTCATTGTGTAGAGCAATAGGCAATTTGCTGCAGAAGGTCGATATGCAGAGTTCTATCATGAGCCTGCTACTTCCTTATTAAGGTTAGAATTTTCATTTTTCTACTTTGTCAGAAGTTAAAAGTTTGTTATAGATCCAACATTTCAATTGCTATCGTACTATGTTGATGTGCTGCGTGTAAAACAAATTTAAGATCCAGCAATCACGGAGATATTGATGCAGTTCAGACTTCCAAGAACATTTTGCATAGCAAGAAAGCTGTTATACTTGCAGCAGGGTGTTGGAGTGGTTCTTTGATACATGAACTGATTGAGCATCATGGTATTGAGTTGGATCTCCCTATCAAGCCTCGAAAGGTAGTATCTTATATTTGAAGGACCCCACTGTAAAATAGACATGCCCATTAGTGATACTAGATGTCCACTTCCTTTTCATCTATCCAATCTCATAGAAGAGATGGCCAATGCTTAATACGTCGTTTACTAGAGCATATTATGCTCTTGGACACTGCATATTATGTAGTCATTACAATGGCATTATTCTGATGAAAACTGTGAACGCTTGTCGAGATGAGTAATAGTTATTCTGGTTGAAACATATCACCAAGAGTGTTGTTTTACGATAAAGCAGATGTATTAAGAAACTCATTAAATACTCTAGTACTATGTGTAAACTACCCTAAGTTGATGATACTCATGGATTGCCTTCATTGAGATGGAGAACAAATGTGGAAATTTGGCATTAAATGCTCTTTATTTTAAAAAACTAGCTTTTTTCAAACAAATTTTGCAGTCTAAAAAAACGCTCTTTTGAAACGGTGAGAGTATATCATTATTCTGTTTATGATATGGTCATGTTTCATGATGTGCATGTTGACTTGATAATATCAATCTTGTAATGACGCATGATCATGAAAACTATTTCATCTCATTACCCTTTCTTGGTAGTATCATTCTCGGGAATGTCTCATTGCTTATACTCGTTTATGATGCTGAGTATTGTGTTTGCATTCTTAAGCTTCTTCATTTGTCTGTATAACAATAGGGTCACCTACTAGTGATTGACAACTTCAAGCCGTTTAAGCTGAATCATGGTCTTATGGAGGCAGGATACATCACCCATGAATCTGCGCCTAATTCAGGATCTGCTCATACTGCACAAACTACATCTGTCTCAATGACAGCAACTATGAACACGTCTGGTGGTCTCGTTCTTGGTATATATTCAATACCCACACACACAATCTGAAAATAGTCCACTGAAAGTTTGATTATGACTACCAAATGAAGCTCTAGTCTCATTCGATTATGCTACCAATGGATGTTAATCCACTGGAAGTACGATGTAATAAATAAATAATGTAATGAAAGCAGTAAATCATGGGATATTAGGAGAGTCAAATGCACTGTACATATTTAGTCCGGTCCCAATATACCCCTCAGTTAATTACGTATGAAGTGGTCTATGCAATGGATTATCTGAACCAAAATGTGGGCAGGTAGTAGCCGTCAACTTGTTGGCTTCAATACTGAGGTGGATGAATCCATCATCAAAAGCATATGGGAGAAGGCTGGAGAGTTTTTTCCTATGCTGAGAAAGGAATCTCTAGTAGAGCTGCGCCAAAATGGTGAAGTGAGAGTGGGACTCAGACCCTACTGTAAGTTGCATTCACCTCTTTACTATTACTACTACCACAACTACATTATATGGCTGCCTTAATGGTTGATTGGAAATTGGGTTGAAACTTGTGAAGCGGCTCATGGGAAGCCGGTCATCGGCCCTGTGCCTGGATTCTCCAACCTCTTTGTGGCGGCTGGACACGAAGGCGAAGGGCTCTCACTGGTAATCATATGGCTTATGTTTTACTCCCTTTGCCCGAAAATGATCTTCTCATTTGACTTTTCACGGCCTCCAATGTAACACTTTGACCACGAATATCTACATTTATACATGGATATATTTTATGAAATTTTAATAGTTCAAAATTACGTTTCATAAGGAAACTATTGATATTATATTTATATCGAAACACAATGTATTCTTTCCAAATATCGAGTCAAAGTTTACAAACTTTGACAAAAGAAAAGTCAAATGGTAAGACCATTTCCAGACGGAGGGAATGTATGGCAACAAATATAACAGTAGGTTCAAAATAAATGGATATTGCAGGATGCTAATAACTCTTTTTTAAAAAAAAACTTATTGATAGGCTCCAGGAACTGCTGAAATGATAGTTGATATGGTGCTAGGGAATCCAGGGAAAGTAGACCCTTCTCCTTTTGCTGTCCGAGGTAGGGTTTGTTGATCATCCCATGTATTATGTGTGGCCAAATGGGTCTTTTGACAATGAAAACCAATGTCATATTACTGTCCAACGGAACTTCTGCCGGACGAATTGATATTCAAACACATGATCAACAAAGAATTGGCCATTGATTGTAGACTTGGTCTTGTAAATCATGTGTAAAATAATTTCTTTTACCAAGTATAAATATCATTCATACAAGAAATGGCAATTGATAAATGCTCCATACTCCGTATATCTTAACTATACTCCACCTATTTACACAATTGTCCCTTTTAGGCCATGTGTTATGATGCTCGAGTGCTGTGCCCGTCACACCGACACAACTGGCGTGGCGTGATGGAGGCGTGACACATATGGTTGGATGGCCACCACAGGCGTTGCTGACCGGTTTTCCGAAAAAAAAATGTTGGGCAACGACTTTGTAGCCATTGAATGCCTTTTTTAATTTTCAAAAGTAGCTGTTGGGTCTAAAAAAATCTATAAATCAAGTAGATATGAGTGGATACCCCATAACTCCACTATATACTCCATTAAAAATTGAAATTGGATGAAGGAAACACCCAATTGGATTATTCAAAGCTTATGTCTCTGCTTTGCGTTGAAGCTACAACAAGCACTATCGTTGTTATTTCTAATGAAAGTTCTTCACAAGAGATTACTCATCGGAGAAGGATCAACGAGTGCCTTATTGAAGATTTTTTCTTGATACTCCAGTAACGATGATTAATTTAAACATTGTTTCTGAATGCGTCACATTTTATTCAATTCTTTCTCGGTGACATGGAGGAGCATTTCCCCATTTTCAATAAGAGATAGATGCTACAGGAGCAAAGAGATTCACTTCGATGCAGAGTGCACAAGCGCTATCCGGCAACTCGCATACGAACGACAATCGATTCCATGTGATGAATATTTGAAGATGTCAGACAAAGTTTCTCGTGATAATCTCTATCATTTTTGTAAAGATGATTTTTTAACTCCTACGTATATACATGATTTTTTGTTTAATATATCATTCTGAACGTATGTACATGACGTCCATGAACACGGGCACGGTTTTTCTGGGATGCTCGGAAGCATTGATTGGACACACAGGGTCTGGAAAAACTACCCCACGGCTTAGCGAGGGTCACATCAACGAGGTGATCACCCAAGTCTAATGTTAATGCTCGAAGCGGTCGCTTTAGTTGATCTTTGGATATGGCATGCAAGTGCCATTGTGTGGAGTGCATATATAAATGTACTCAATATATTGTAACTAGTGTTAATTCCGTGCTTCGCACGAGCTCGTATATATTCTAAATTTTTAAGATTCTATAAGTATAATTTTTGTTTTAGTTTTCTAATAGTGACAAAATACATTTTAAACTTGTGAAATATATATCGATATATTAATTTAAAAATAAAAAAAATACAAAATTAGTGGTCATTGAATTAAGTACTAATAAAAATGGTTTTAATTAATAAAATATTATAAAAAAAGTGGATTAATTACATAATGATACATCATTAGAGAATGTATGTGTCATAATGTCACTTGTCACCCTTTAATTTAAATCAACTTTATTATATTTACTTTGTTGAAAAATATATGTAGCAATAAAATAAACAAGTGATACGATAAAATTTTAAAAATAAAGTATTTAAATGATAAATATGCATGTGCGATTAAATTTATATAATCATTTTTGAGAAGTAATAAACTATAATAAATTGTGGATAGTATAAAACTAATCATATATATATATATATATATATATATATATATATATATATATATAGACACACACACACACACACTTAAAAAATGGAGTATATTTTACAATGGTAAAATATATATTTATAGAATTAATAAACATGAAATTTTTTTACACAAATGTATTAAAAGATCTTTTTAAAAAATCTAAATGGACTAATGAAATGCATATATAAATTGCATTGAAAAAATTATGGAAAGAGATATATTTGGGATAGCGAAAGTATTTTTTATTTTATGCCAAATTTTTAAATAGATTGAATTAGTATAACTTTAATAAAATATTGTAATCCAAAAAAAGAAAAGTTTAAGATTTTCAGGAGAGGAGAGTATTATTCACGAAGAGTCAAAACTCGAAATAACTTTTTTAATTGGAATAATTTTTTCTATATTTGGTCCAAATAGAAAAAGAAAAAAGAAAAAACAAGTTCCCATTTCCCAAAAGTTGACCATCCACTTTTCCTTCATGATTCACCGTTGCAACTACCAAAACATAAATCAAAAGCAAACCCAAACCCACATGGCCAACGACAACACACTGTATTTTTATTTGAAGAAAGCAAAAAACTAACAATAAAACTGATCAGCATTACATTAGTATACATAAATTCTACTAATACAATCAATCTTTTTTTTTGTGATTGGTTAATAAAATACAAACCTAAAGAATCAACAAACTCATCAACATCAGCTAGCAGATCAAACCAGAATAATTTAAAAGTAATTATCACCCACAAATATAACATTTATAATAAATTAATCAACAAGGGATCTTAGAAGTGAACCATTTCATGACACTGAAAGGGGCTTTGATGAGCTCCAACGCCAACTCCACCACCACCGTCACGCAAAGACAACATGGGCACAAACAGCTCAATGCCAACCTATACATATACACATACATAATTATATATAGTTGTGTTAGAATATAAAAACTTTTTTTGTTGAGTTGATTTCTTGATATGCTAAAGATTTATTGACTAAGCAGCTACGAATTGAAAATTCAAAATTCACCACCAATCAGTTTTTATTTTTCTTTTTTGAAATTAAGTTTGGGACTTCACGTATGTGTTAGAATATAAAGTTGAAGGACCAACGATGAATTTTAACCTATCCTGAAATTTCACTACCAATCAGTATTTCTTTTGAAATTAAGGTTTGAGACTTCACGTACGTGTTGAATATAAAGTTTGAATTTTTGGTTAAGTCGATTTCTTTTTACAAAAATTTTTACTACGTATATTCTAACAACATACTCAATTAAAAAAAACTCAAATTTGTGGTTGCATGATCAATTGTTCTAGCACAACAATGGACATGCAAATCAAGATTTGTTTTTACTCGAGTCTGAAAAAAACCAAGTTGTAGTTTCAGGAAAGATTTCAACCATCTCTAGATTGAAATGAGTAACAAGAAGGGTCAATCAAAAGTTCGAAATTATAGTTGAAAACCCAAGAATTTTGTTTGTATATATATGATAAACTCCAGTAAACCCAAGATTAATAAAGATGAATCTGGAGATAAAAAAAGAACAGACCCGACGATCCAGATGGGTATGGCGATGATGGAGATGATGAGGGAGACGAAGGCGAAAGGCAAGCCCAGAAGGAATCCCAGTGGCCTGCAATCTCCATCTTCGCCGCTGCAGCACATCTTCTTCAATACGCCCCGATCTGATCTTATTCTCAACCAAACTGATCAGATTTCTTTCTTTTCTTTTTTTTTTTTTTTTTGAATTCAAGATTGAATTTCGCTTCGTTTCTTTCTGGGTTTTGATTTGTTTTACAGCAGGGGAAGACGAAGAAGAAGAGGGNGAGGGATTAGAAGAGTTCAGAGATGGGGAGAGAAAGAGACCGCGTTTGTTTCCTTATATAATCTCAGTGACAAATGAGGATGTATAATTATTGACTGGCCAATAGATGCACGGGCCTTGTTTGAAAACTTTGTTTCTTTTCCGAATAAATAAAGGAATTGTCCTTGTTTTTTATTGTTCTCAAATGAATTACTTATGGTTTTCAGAACAGTTGAAAAAGATAGAAATTTGCTAAAACATCGTTAATAAAAATGAAGTAGAGTATATTAAATAAAGTATGTAAATTGTAATAAATAAACTAACTAGAGATAGTTGTGGTATTTTTAAATATTAAAAAAAAAGGGAAGATTTCTCCCAAATAAACAAAGACCACATTTGGGAAAATCTATGACTTAACATAGTTGTCTCCAGAATAGTTGCTAGAAATCGAACTTGAATCTTACTCACTTGATATATCATACCTTTGCAAACTACGCAGCGTCCGGCCCGTTGCAATTTAATGTACGAGTAATTGAAATACAAAGTAATCGAATAGCAATATGTTTGAGGGAGACGGCGGGGCATTTATCGTCAGATCAATTAAATACGAAGATTTTCAAAAATGTATTTCATCATTTTAACATATTCGTTTCAAAATTATCCTCATGTTTCACTATTTATTGCCCAATTTTTTTGCTTTTTCTTTTCTTATTTTTGTTAATTATTTGTTTATATAACTTAGACTTCTCACCTCATGTTTTATAGAATATATGATATATTTTTTTAATCTATAAATTTTATTTGGAAATTAAATGACATACCATTATTTTATTAAATTAAATTAACAAGACAATAATTAAAGTACGGAAAGATCACATATTTAACATGATTAAAATTCATCAAATTTAACCTAGAAGTCAAACTGGACGGAAATAATGAACGGATCCTTATGAATGACTCCCAAAGATGATCACGCAATAACCTACGTCACCTAACTCTCTCTCAATATTTGTTTCTTTTGACATTTTTCAGTTAAACTAAACAAATTTCTCATCCGTTTAATTTTTCAGTCAAGCTAAACAAATACAAGTATTAATCAAAATTTAAATAAAAAACTAATCCGTATATTGCATATTAATACGGACTATAATAAAACAAATTTTTAAACAAAATTTGTGGTTAAGACATTTGAAAACAAAAAAAAACTAGAATTTCAAAAACATGGTAATACAACAAAGCACTATGCTCAAGGCCTGAACTATCAATAACAAGACATTTGCTTAGCTAGGAGAGAGCTATCATAGATGACAGTAAAAGGATGACTCTTGTAAAGAAGACAATACAAAAAATAAAAAAACAAAAAAAAAACTGAAATGTTTAGAGGTCATCCAGGTAGATGATCATTTCATCATTATGCATCACTGAGAGATCTTCAGACTCATCTTCTTCCAAAGCCAAGTCTAAAGAATCAGCCAAGCTTGGTTTCCATAGCTCTAACTTGCAGACTTTTACATAGGCATCATAACTAGCAGCTCTAATGCCTTCAGACACCATCTCCTTCCATGAGCTACTAGAACATCCATCTCCCAAAGCATCCATTGCTTCCAAGAGGGCTTCAGAGAAGCCTGGATTCCAGAAAACAACAACTGCACAGCTGTCATCCACCAGCCGAACATCATATTCACCCGCGAAGACTTCATGTTTCCCGTGCAGAAGTCTTTTCAACTGGCCAGTAGAAATCCCACTCTGAAATCCCCACAGGAAGACCATGTTTTTGCTGCTAACTCTTTCGCGTCGTTTTGCCCATAGTCTAACTTCTTCTTCTTCTTCATTAGTAGAACCCTGGTAACTGGTTGAGCAAGAATCGAACATATTTGCGTAGCATTTTAGAGCCGGAGGCAAATGGGGATGGCCCTCTTCAATGGCTCTAGGGGTTTTTGGGTCAATTTTCAAAATGAAGCACAACTTCGCGAATAACTCGCTTATCTTTACAACACTGTGGCCTTGACTCCTGATTTTGTCTGCATCAGTTGACATAGCTGTGCAAATTTAGCCACGATTCAGAATTGGTTCAAGCAACTGATCATAAAATGATTTAAAAATTCCTTAAATCAATTACTACTGTAGTCATATTATGTTTAACTCAACAACATCAACAAACCCAGAAAAATACTCCGTCAACATCTCCGTTAAGGTCGGTGAGTCAAGATGTACGCAACTTTACTCCATTAGCACAGAATAAAAGCCAGTTTGGGGTAAATTATGGTATAGATTCATTTATCATAAAATGGCTTTCTAATGTAAATACTCCGTATGTGAATTGCTCTTTTGAAAAAAAAGTCTCAATTAGGTGCATTCTTAAATAAGCATCTAAAGTGTTTTGTGGCTGTTAAAAAGAAGTAATCCATGCATCATAGTATCCCATATCCCTATTAATGGTAGAAAAAGTGGAGTGGAACCGCAATTAACAAACACCGATTGGGGAGTAAGAACAAATCCATAAAAGAGTGCTTGCCTTGGTGGGCACTCTCTACTTGTACTGGGGCAAAAAACCTGCTATTGAGGTAAGATGTAGCCACATATACATTATTCAAATTCTTCTGAAAGCCAAGCTCCTTAATAAGATGTTTCACGTCAAGAATGTGAGGAAAGACAGAGCCCAATGAGTTTCTAAATTCATCCAAGGTTGATGGTAATGGAGCAAGGAATTTCGAATGAATAAATGTAAAATCTGCAATTGGAAAGTTCACATTCAGCAAGCAGCCAAAACAATGACGTATAAAACATGAAACTAAAAAAAACAAAGAGATTAACCATTCATTGAATTGTGGGCAACAACAGGCTTCTGAGAACTGGCAATCAGTTCAACCACTTCACGAAAGCCACGAATACGCTTGTTATGTTCCTTTCCTATGTCTTGAAGTTCATTCTACAATAGAATTAAGAAACTAAATAAAACACAAGGTGATGGATGACGGATCAACATTCAACTTGAATAAAATACTAATATTTATGTGTCACCTCAAAAAGATCCTTGTCTTCTGGTGAACTTGTCAAGATTGCTCGGACTGTTTGTATTCCACTTCCATTTGCTGGAATTAGTAGAGGTACAACATCAACGAAATGCTTCAGTGTCTGCAACCAGACACAAAGATAAAATTCTATCACCAAAGGACGAATGCTAAAGCATACCCAATACAGTTGAACACAATTAATCCACAATCATTTATTATTGGTGAATCACTGTGTGACGAGGGAGAAGTAGAGTACCTCTAGCACAAGATTCACTTGTCTCTGACTGCAAGTATCTATGTTCAAGCAAGGCCTAGAACCATGCACTTCAATTGCAGAGATCATTCTCCTCAATGAACTAATTAAAACATCTATGACATGTTAACATAGATCAGAAATGAACAACTTTCATCATTAGGCAAAGCAAATTCAAATCACCTTCGGGTTTCTTGCCCAGATCATTGCAAGCATCTATCCAATGTTTGACTCGGGATTTGATCCTTTCTACAAATATAGAATCAGCCACTGATCGGGATGGTGGAGATAAAATTGTACAGCTGGGAGCTGATGGATTCCTAAAATGATCTTTTGCAGCTAGTTCTTGTGCTCTGGATAAGTATGATATGCCTGGCACAGTGGACCTAACAAATTAGATGATGTTCTAATCTTTCCTCCCTCAACTCCTCACGAAAAATGTCACTAGCCTAAATTACTTTGAGATTCACAGCCACGTTTTCCCTATAATCTCTACTGTTAAACTAGTTATACACTAATGCACTTAACTATGACCCTCAAAAGAATTTGTTCCATTTTTGGAAACTAGGTGGTGAAGAAATTGAAAACTATGCATCAAACGTACTATGGAGCAACAAACCCAACTCTGTTGGGGTCACAAGATGAAGATGTAAGCAACCTTACCACGAGAGAAACAGACTATTTTTGTTAGAACCTTGATGCATTGCTGCATTAATTGGCCAAAACTTCACGGAAAGTAAGAAGCAAGGAAGTTTAATGGCACATTTTGATTTAGTCTGTTCTTTACCCAAAGCTAAAACATTGTCAATATAAATTTTCATATATAAATTACTACAACATCAAAATAAATCTTGAATAATGTAAAAGAAGCAATTGATGTATAAAGTACAATGTGAGTTAATATAGTCCCTCCGTCCCACTATTTTTTCGGGACATGAGAAAGGTACAGAAATTATGAAAAGATTGTGTTTTTGATATTTATGTTAAAAGGTAAGATAACGTACGAATGAATGTGACCAAAAGATGATACGAGACAAAATTAGACAGAGGGAAAAAAAAAGTAAAAATGAACAAAAATTGAGGGATGAAACGAGTATTATTTATACTTCTAGTAAAAAGAAGAACTTCAATGAAGCTCACCATCAGCTATGCAAGCATTGAAGTCGAAGCCTTCACGAGCCAGTGATACCAAATAAGATGGCTGACAAGAAAAACTATAAGAAGGCAACCCAACTTTCAACTCATCCCGAGGGAACAAATGGAAATTGTATCTGCGATGGAGACGTAATAAATGTATCATCTTTCAATGAAAATTCACAAAACATACGCATATAAACTTAAGTACGTAGACATTTTTTAAAAGAGGAATTGAACAGTGAAGAATACTTACGGGTGAGCAATGACTTTGGAGGCCCGGAAGGAGAAAGGGCAAACGGCGAATTGAAGAATCTGGAACCTTTCGGCGGCGTGTCTGGCTTTGAGATAACCGATTTCGGCGGTGTCGAATGGGAGATGACGCTTCCATGGAGAAGAGTAAGCTCCGGTCGTCTGTAAGGAAACGGCGATGAAGTCAGAATCGGCGATTCGGGCTCCGATCTCGTCCAGTGACTCGGAGAAGTTGGACTTGGTGACTTGCTTGATGCCCCATTTACCGCAGTTCTGAACGGCGTTGGAGTTCGGGTGCAAATTGGCTTCGGCGATGGTGCAGAATAAATGTCTCTGTAACATCGAACCCCACCGCCGCCGGCTAGATGGAAGAAAACAGGTGGCGGCGAATTCCTCGCGCAAAGCTTTTTATTGAGTCCAAAAAAAAAAACTCAATTGTCACAAACATATACTCCCTTGTCCCCTAGTTTTGTTTTTGTACACTTTCATTTTTGCAAAAAATTATAGAAATTATATATTACTCTCTTCGTCCGGAAATAATTTTCCCACTCTACGTTTTTATCAACACTCTTCCAAAAATACCCCTCTTTCTTATTCTACTCAATCACCCCTACCCACGTTACCATGCCCTCCCCCATCTTTTTTCTTTTCTTTCTCTCTCTCTTCCCCTCCCCTTCTTTTTCTTTCTCCTTCTTCTGGAATTGTTCTTCTCCTTCTTCGTTTCTTCTACCTCTCTTTTTCATCTCTCTCTCTCTCTCTCCCCTTCTCCTTTGTCGTCTTCTTCTTCTCGATCATCTTCAACCTCCTATTTCTTTCGTCTTCCCTCAAATCTTGCCTTTGTCCCTTTTTTTCTTCTTCTTCTTTTAGATCTGTGTTAGATCTGTAGAGCTAGTTGCAACGGTAGAACAGACGATAATGGTGAGAGCTAG